CAGCGGGGGGGGGGGGGGTGACGGCGGTGCCCAGGGAGGCTGTGAAGCTGCTGTGTGTGCCTGGGGGATTGGAGCCTCCACCAGCCTGACCCAAGGACCAGGGGGAGTCCAGGTGGCACTGGTTTGGACTGGCACCCCACTGGGGCCACAGGGGACTAAAAACCAACCCAGAATAAATCCTGTGATCTTTAAAAGAAGCTTTCAGCAGTTGTACCTTTCTGTGATGAATTTGATTTAGAACCTGAAGCGTTCCTCAAGATAAAGGTCTAATCCTGTAAAGAAGAATATTACTGATTTGTGCTGGCCTTGAAAGTACTCGTGATGATAAATCTTCAGTCCAGAAAGCAGCAAAAAATTTTGGTGTGATTGCTAGTGCTTCCCCAGAGCAAAGTATTTATGGGGTTCTCGCTGTGTGGTGGGTAGATTATGTCCAGCCAGCTCTGACAGTGAGAGGGAGGGGGCAGGCTGAATACTATGAACTGGAAAAACAAAGTTTTGTGGGACTTCAAAAAAAGAACTTATGAGCCTGCAAAGGTTTTCAGGACAAATTCTTATCTACATATCTTGGTGGCTAGTTTCCTCTTCAAAGAGAAATAGTCTACCATAGTAAATACTTGCAGATATTTGAATTTCTTTTAAAATCATAATGTGATGGTAATTACGGTAACAACTAGGGAAGATACAGGTTTTCCCCCTTCTGCTGAAGGGAACTGAATGATTAGTGGAGGATGATGTAGCTAAATATAATAACTAAGACTACCACTACAGTAATGGGAAATATATTTGAATAATTGGGAGAATTTTGAACACACAGTCAGCTGTTTCTGTCTCCCACTCACAGCTTTTTAAAGAGTAATTATCTTTATAAAAGGCAAGACGGAGAGCTGTGAATTCATGTAGCAGTTAGGATGTTTCAGTGTTACCCTTTGCCTTACGAAGATGCTAACTTTTGCTGTTCAGTGGCGGTCTTGCCGAAGCTATCGGGTACAAACCTGCTGGTTTGTGGTTTGGTTTTTTTTTTTTCCCCTTTGCTCTGAGCACCCCCCCGTGCTGTCCCCTGGTCCCGGTGGCCACCCTGACCCCGCGGTGGCCGCTGTCGTTGCAGGCGGTACGGGACGCGCTGCTCCCGCTGCGGGCGGCACATCCACTCCACCGACTGGGTCCGGCGGGCGAAGGGCAACGTCTACCACTTGGCCTGCTTCGCCTGCTTCTCCTGCAAAAGGCAGCTCTCCACCGGAGAGGAGTTCGCCCTGGTGGAGGAGAAGGTCCTCTGTAGAGTACATTACGACTGCATGTTGGACAACCTGAAAAGAGAAGTTGAAAATGGTAACGCGCTGCTTTTGTGAAGATCTATGTTTGTGGTTTAGTTTTAATTAAATTGTTGGGTTTTACTCCATCTTCCTTATTAAGAGGTAATTACCTAGCTTTACTAAGGCTGGAAGCACAGGTTCTTGAATTAAAATAATGTGCAAATTATTGGATGTTTTAGTTCTTCTTTTTTTTTTTTTTTTCAAAGTTTGTATAACTTGTTTTCTGTCCTAGGGAAAAAGAAAGCAAGAGCGTATCTAGTTGATAAAATACCATGCTGGATCTATTCCTCCCCTCATTAGCAAGGGAGTAGTTTGGGGTGTAACGAGTAATGGTGGCAGATCAATTTAACTTTGAACAGAATACGAACTTCTTAAAGTTGAAATTCAGCTGGCTGAGTAACTGTTGGTTATTGTTGCAGGACAGCCTGACTTACGAATAACATCATGTTGAATGTTTAGCAGACAGTGTTGTTTTCTTTTTAATGCTTCAGGTAATGGGATTAGTGTGGAAGGAGCATTACTAACAGAACAAGATGTTAATCATCCAAAGCCAGCAAAAAGAGCTCGGACCAGCTTCACGGCAGACCAACTCCAGGTAGAGGCAGAGCTGAAAAATTGCACGGTTCAGGTTTATGCAGGATGTAGGTGCTGAACCGATAGGAAATCGGATGCATATGGAGGGAAAGAAAAAGCTTGCATGCTTTAAAGTATTTCATAAACTATCAAGACACAGCATGTTTCTGGAATTGTTTGTTAGCTTCAGCAGTTTAATATGAAATAGTTACTCTTCAAGCTTTTTATTTCCCTGGGGGCAGCTAGTAATTCCGCAGAGTGGAAATAAAAAGGTTGTTCTATTTTGATTGCTCGATGAAATCTATTTTATCAGGCATTTACATCGCTACACATAATAAAGACAAAATATTTCTAGAACTATGTAATGTGAAGAGTTGTATGAAGATGGGCACCGTGCATGACTTCAGGACATGAACAGGGTGGAAGTTTGAATGTTGTTGTAGTGCACGATAAGGGCTGCAAAAGTTGTGTTCCCAAAACGTGCATTCCTGCTTATATTCACATGAACACAGATCCACTCCCGTCAGTGGCTGTGCCTTGGTTTGGTTCAGAGAAGATGGGGAATAGTTGCACATTCATTTCTTGCTTGCCCTCTTTCCTCCTAAAACCGTTCTCCTCGATTCTTGAGTTTTAGATCATGTGTTATGGTCTTGGTTGTAATTCTGTACACCAAGAAGAGAGACTATCAAAAGGGACTCGCCTTTGATTTCCTTCCTTCTCTTCTTCCCCTTCTCCCAGCCCTTCCAAAATGCTTCATGTGCTGATTTCCCCAAAGTGTCTTTGAGCTTTACTTGTTAAAAATGTACTAAAGCCAGTATAGTCTTGGTGTTGTACTTCAAGACCTAGACTCCATATTTAATGCTGCACACCTAAGGGAAAAAACATGCTTTTTCTCCTAGAGCTAGGTGGAGTGAAATACAGGAAAGTGCATTTGAAGTACTTGGCAGCAGTTCTCATACTGTCCAATTTTTTTCTTGAACGTGTGTTACTGAACTATTTCTTTCCAATATCCCTTTGTAGTAGCTCAACCACTCATTATATTCCTTTCCATGGTCAGGGCTAAGGGCAGTGGGAGCCAGGAAGTACCAAATCGAGCCCCCTTCTGAAGGGGCCGGCATCTGCTCTGCTTTCAGGCCTTCATGTCGTGTTGCCACCTTGGCAAGGGTTGGCTCCGGGCTGCCTCAAATATGAGTTATTCCACCCTTTGGATCACCACTTCCCTTAAATTAACTTTCTAGGGAAAATCACCGTGACCAGGGCCAGCTGCCCGTGAAGGGGGCAGTGGTGAGATGGGATTTAGAGATTTCAGCCTGTAGTGGGAAGGAAGCTGCAGCTTTTTACCCAGTCCTAGCTACGCATCCCTGCTTTTAATTTACAACACTTTGAATTTCTGGGAACATGTGGCCACTACACCACTCCTTTTCTGCTGCCTCAGCCAGTGTTCTGTTTTGTTGGCCCGTCCTCCTCTTGTTCATGTTGAGGGCAGCTGAGAAAAACTAAAGTTGAGGTATAATGACAGAGGTGAGGCATTTAAGCAGTGCTATACAACATGGCATGTGGCTGTTCAGAGCTTGGTTTGCTATTTCAGCAGTAACTGGAGACAGAATGTAGTGTTAATACAAAACAGGTGAGTTGGGAATAACCTGACGAGGGCTCTGGACACCAGGCTTGAACTTCTGCAAAAGGGAACTTTCTTTTCCAGCAGTAGCTGGAGGGGAGTGAGACCCAGCCATCAGGGCAGGAGCTGGATTCGGGGTTTCTGCCTGTTTGCTGTCAGTAGAACTTCCATGTTTCCTCTCTTTTTCTGTTTTAAATAGCTTGTAACCTACTTCATCAGGTGTTTGGGGCCTTAGGGCCTCTTGTTACTTAACACTTGCTCTCTGCTCGGTGCATCTGACTCTGCAACCCTCCTCGATGCTGGTGTCGGACTTTGCTTCCCAAAAGAGAAGCTCCTGAGGGATAAGTGACTGTCAGAGCGACAGCACGTAGTGACACCCCTCGTGGAGAACTCGTACGAAAGGATGTCCTCGTTTTTTGATGTCTTTGTATGAAACAGTAGGAAAGTACATAGTTCCAACGTTTCTGAATGTGGGAAGAAGTAGTCTGAATCTTCAAAGATGAAGCCAGGCAAAATTTGCAGTCCATCAGGGGACAAAATCCAGAAACGAGAAACTACAGTTTGCTCAGTTGCTGAGGGTACTCTGCAGAAATTAAGCTTTACTTCCTTAAATAAGGTACATTAGTCCTGAGACTGTTCAGGACGCAGGCCAAGCTGACATCTTCCTTCCTTAGGGAAAAAAAAAAAGTGATTCATGTCCTAATGACTTGCCTTCAATTTTCTGTAAAAAGATGAGTGTAACCAAACAATTAGGAAGTGCAGGTCGGCCAAGGTGGAGTACCTGTTCCTCGGGTCGTTTAAAGGCACAGGAGGCAGGAAGGGCTTCCCCGCTGCCCGCAGCCTCCGTGGGGCTGAGCAGGGGTTCAGCTGCCCCGTGGGATGCAGGATGCAGGTGGTGACTGATGGGTCGAGGTGGATCAAAGTTCTATGCACTGTGTCTGCTGCTATGGACATTTTCTTTATTAAGTGTGTGGGAGCTGCTTTGCCAGGGAATCTTGTCCCACAGTCCTTGTAACGCAATCACAACAGAGCACCTCCTCTCTTCTGCACTGCTGCCAAGGAGATTAACTTCTTCCATTTCTGGTAAATGTCTCAGTTCAGTTAAGCATATAGGGGGCTTGTGTTGTGGCTTTGGGGGACTGGTTTTTTCCCCCTCAATGTGCTGGGGACTGTCTGGGATCTATTGATTACAACAGTTTCCTAAGCAGAGTCCAGGAACGGGTCGGTGGCTGTGGGGAGTCTCTGACACTGCACACACAAACTCTGCCATCTCTTCTCTTGCCTTCCCAGGTTATGCAAGCACAGTTTGCTCAGGACAACAATCCAGATGCACAAACACTTCAGAAACTGGCAGAAAGAACAGGCTTGAGCAGGCGTGTTATACAGGTAACGGTGTGAGGTTCTGTCAGTCACAGAGGCTGGTACTCGGCCATTGGAAGTGCTTCATGTGACAGCTCCCCCCGTGTAGTTATTCCAAGATGGAAAAAGATCTAATCTGGCAGTTATGTTAAAACTTCAGACAACATCCTTAGTCAGGAATAGGTCTAGAACAAACATGTTAATTTGGAAAACTTCCTGTATTCCTCTTGCACTTTGTGTTGGAGGATCAATCATCTTCCAGGAAGAAGACTCTCAGGCTAAATAGAATAGGAATTGGCACTGAGCTCTTCTAAATATAAATCTCTGACTTCAATAGCTTGTTCTTAAGACCTGTGCTCTTCTTGAAAGTGGTCTGTGGCACGACGTGTTTAGAGTAAGTAAATGTCTGGTGATCCGCTCTAGAGGGTTAAAATATATACCCGTGCCATCCAAAACTGAGAGAAACCAACTTACAGTCTTTACTTGAAGATAGCTCTCTGCAAACATTATAAGCATGTGCTTTTTCTATGTAAATATGAATTTTTAATAATATATATATTTATACAAATAAAAATGAGTTTGCTGTCCCTGTAGCTGATTCTAGCCAGGAAGATGGACAGAGTGTTTCTGTAGAAGTGAGGTATCTCACAGCTGCAGTCAAGCCTTGAAAAAGTGGGAGCCTGGGCAGTTCTCCACGTGAGAAGGCGAAGGGGTGTCCTGTGAAATCCCTGCCTGTCTGTCAGCCGTGCTGAGGCAGGCGATGCCCTGTCCCCTCTGGTGCCCGGGGCAGCAGCCCCTCTCCCATCTGGGCTGCAGGAGCTTTCCTGGCTCGGCCACACTTGTTGGAGGCACTGTGTAGGCTTAGGACAAATGCTTCTTCATTAGGACTGTTAAAGGCTCAATTAACTAACCGAATTCAGCTGAAGTTAGAAAGCTGAGGTTTTTATTGTGCTACTGTTTAAACAGAATGCAATCTATTAACATGATGTAAACTTTTTCCCCTTTTCAGGTGTGGTTTCAAAATTGCAGAGCGCGCCATAAGAAGCATGTTAGTCCTAATCATTCATCTTCTGCTCCCGTCACAGCAGTGCAGCCCTCCAGGCTGTCTCCACCCATGCTAGAGGAAATGGCATACTCTGCCTACGTACCCCAGGACGGGACCATGCTAACTGCTCTGCACAGCTATATGGATGGTAGGTGTCACGGCTTCGCACACCCAACTAAAATCGCTAGTGGCCCTAGCAAGAACAGTTTACCAAGTGCTGATTAAAGAAACTTAATGGATTTCTAATTTCTAGTATTCTTCATAGACTGTCTGAATGTTGTCCTTGCTATCTGCACCTCACTAAGAAGGGTGCCTCTTCAAGCAGGAAGAGCATAGCTGAAGATCTGGATAAGAAGACCACTTTTCTGGGCTTCCTCCAGACTATGAATACTAGTAATAAGAAATCAAACACTTGCTTGAACATCCACGGCATGTTTTTTAATAATATGTAGTTTTAATGAGAACTGTTTACCGCCTGCTCCCCAACTTGCCCCAAGACCATAGGGGTGCTCAATCCAGCATCTCAGTGGAAATGGAAGGGTCCCCCACTAACACATGGTGAGGGGAGCCTGGGGGGCAAAATTATGTCTTTAATTGTCTTGTGACCCAGCAAGTCAACAGTTCTGGCTGGTATCTGTGATTCAGGGAGACTGTGAAGGTTTGGGGAGAACTAGACTGAGCCATGTGTGGCCTGAGCTGATTTTTCTCCAGCTGGGTGGTGGGAGGTGGGCTGTGGGTGGAGGAGGGTGACTGCTGGGGTGGGGAAAGCAGAGCGTGCTGCGGTGGCTGGGGACGGGGGGGACTGTTGTTACCCAGTGGGATTTACTAGTTCTTCATCTTTTCTACCTCTGAGGATGTTGACCAGTAAATATTTCTGTTTTTGTAGCCCATTCACCTACAGCTCTTGGACTCCAGCCTTTGCTACCCCATTCAATGACACAACTGCCAATAAGTCACACCTAATTCCTTTGTCAGGGACATAAGCTATTAAGGATGTAATCTTAAGTCATTTATTGTGTATGAAAAATACCATTGGAAAGATATTAATGTTAACTTTTTATTTAACATCTAAAGCATTTTCAAGATCATTTTTGCTGCCCAGGTATGTAAGTATATTTAGCCTGCAAGACACTTTTATGGATTCTGCATAAATAACTATTACATTGTTTACAAGCCTTATTAAACACCTTTTTGTATTGTCTGGAAGTAGTCCACTCTAGTTATGTGTGTGTTAATTTATTTGTCATCAAAAGAGCACTTTGCCTAAAAGAAAGGACTGACAATTGTGCAAAATGTTTACAATTCTTTGTGAAATTGTAGTTTATCATTAGTTTGTATCTGTAAGTTATTGCTAAAAGTATTACCTGTATTTGAGTTGTATACAGCCTATATGTTAAAGCTTATTTCTGTGAGTTTACAAAAATAAATTTTGGTTGCAAATATTTTCAAAATGAACTGAATAAAGTTCCTGCTGTAGCATGCCAAGCAAAAATGTTGCTGTGTTTTATGGCTGAACTGCAATTGTTTGACAAGGGCTTAACCTGAGTCTTCAATTTTCAGAGTAGGTCCCTGCTATACCTAGCTGTGCTACACCTAATTCTTTCAGGAGTTCATAGCTCTCTCAGTTGCTTCTCAGAATCCTTTAATGGGCTTGGATGGGTCTTGAAACACCAAAAATAGGTGCTTCTTTAAAGTTAGTATACACAAACCAGTGCTGCTCCTGAGGGTGCTCAAAATGGTAGATGTATTGGATATTTTATTTTTTTTAACTATGATTTAAGTCAACGTAAATTCACATCTGCTGGAACACTGAATTTTTACTACTTCAGCTTCTGTTTTCTTCAGTGGTTTTATTTTGTGATTTTGTTAAGCAGGATGGTAACCAATACTTAAAGTCTGCATTTTTAAAGTAAAATATAGTTCAGTATTTTAACTGACCTATATCAAACTGCCTATGAACAGAGACTGGGATTCAGTCGACTGCAGAAAAGTGTACTGTGTTTTAAACTGTGCTCAGACTTAATTACAGAGCGTGATTTGACACCCTGATTTGATGGACAAAGGTTAGTGCATGCTGTCAGTTTGACTGATTGTTGTGCTCACAGACTCAATCCTTCAAGGACTTAAGATGGGTAGATGCCATCTGCACACCTAAACTTTACTTGCATCAGCAGGAAATCATACTTTTGAAGGAGTGTGTGTCTGTGTTTGGTTGTTTTGTTGTTTTGTTTTTTCTTCTTCTCTCCAAGCATGAGTTAGTGTCTTGTCTGTGTGAAATTTCTTAACTGTCCTGGTTCTCATTTCAATATGGAAAATGTAGTATTCTCCTGCTGCCATGGGAAGATAATGGCTTTTGAGAGCATAAATTTAATATCAAGCTCTGAATTATTTAAGTTCCATAAATTAAATGTTGGCACTGTTTCAAGTGCTACTCACAGACATCTGAGCTAATCTGAGTAGCAAACCCAAACCCTATCTGCACTCGCACAGAGGTTTGTCTGGGCTAATATTGTCCCTAATGCTCCCTAATGCGCTTTTTTTGTTTTTTGTTTTTTGTTTTTTTTTCACAAAACACTTGAAAGACATGGGGTGTTGTGGAACTTGGCTGACTTTACATTTTTTTCTCACACACATAACATGCTAGTGAAACACTCCAGGTGGAACACTGAATTCAGTATGTGATTTTCAGTACCTCAGTTGGCTCTGTATATCTGCAGGATACAAAACTGCACGCAGAGCAGTAGACAAACTGGTTTTTGTTTGCTTGTTGAGTCTGATATGCAAGTAGGACAACCTTACTGCTGAAGTTTTGCCACTTAAATGCTAAATAATGCTCATTTAGCTTTTAACATAACTTCGCAATTTAATATACTACTCAGTTGCCTTGTTTTAAAATGCAACTTGACTTACATCAAGTCCCTTTCAAGAGAAAATAATTATTCACTGTAATTTGAAGGACTAAGCAGGTTCAGGTTGAATTACCCAGTTCTGAGCTCCTCAGTACTGCCTCTTTTGTGTTGTCAAAAATTAAAGAAAATAAACTTCTGTCAGTTTAATTCTATGCATTACTGCTGTTGCTAGTTAACTTTTAACTCCTGCTCGTTCCAGGATTAAAAATTAAGCGACTAGACTCGTCATACAAGGCACTAACAGCATGATAGCCAAGCTTCTTCAAAAAATGAAAACAACTTATCATTTGTTTAAACGAAGAGCAGAAAAAAACCCCTGAACTGGTTTAGTTAATTTCTGAAAATCCACGGCTTATTTACCTCTGGATGAGTCTCCAGAACAGTGACATCTAGAGACGGGAGAGAGAGAGAGTACAAGATTAATAAGAAAAACACAAACTGCCTCTAAGTCATTAATAAATTGCTTGACACTGAAGTTACATGTCTGCACATTCTAACGCTCCTATTTCCTCTTAAAATAAAATGAATAGTTCTTGAAAACATACCAATCTGTTAACTCTCTATTTCACTCATTCTTGGGCAGAAACGAGCAGACAGGGCACTGTGGTGGGTGTCCCCTGCGCTGCTTTAACTCCTCTAACCCACCCACCGACCTGCTGCTGCCTTAGGGACCTCTCTCTCTCCTGCTTTCAAGCAGAACAGTTTCTCCTTTGAGGCACAAGAGGATGCATTTTCAGTGAGAGGTAAGGCTGTCACCAGTGCCCATCCCATGAGGAGATGCAGAGCCCAGGACCTGGTCTCAGGCAGGGACGCTGCTCCCGGGGGCTGGCGGAACCGGGAACACGGCCCGTGCCTGCATCATCCACCTACGTTTGGAAAAGCAGATATGTTTGGGATTATGTCACTTAGTGCAATACAATCTCAAACTCCGGAGGTCTATATTTGTTATAAGACCACCACGTTAAAATTGCTTACAGATTTTTCCAACAGGTCTGGTAGCAATAACTGCAATACAACTGTACGATAGCCATTTTTCTCTCCTGGGGGGGAAACGTTACTGTAGACTGATACACCATATAAACTGAAGTTAAAGACTTACTGAGTCATTCTTAGTTCTTCCATATATGCTAAAACAACTCCCGAACAAATGTTTTCTGCGTTCTATTTTCAAGATATTATGCATTATAAGTAGTCTCCAAGAGGAAAATAAATCTTAATTCTTATCTGCATTCAGTCTCTGTCCTGGCATCCATCACTATCCTCAGCTGGCCCATCAACAACACTTCTCATTCTCTTCAAGGGTGGTGATTCTATATTCCACATTTGATCCTGATTTAGGCAAATTCAAACTCTCAGAAATAAATGGCTTTAAATCTGATCTACAAAATGGATGCCAGGGAAGAAAGAAGAAGAAGAAAAGAGAGAATAAAACCCCAATCTCTTAGCAGAGAAGCTTTTTCGATGTGTAAATCTTCCTGGGGTACAGAAAACCTACCTGTTAGGACTGCATCCTCTGCCATGGTGCACTGTCCTTCACCTTCTCCAGCAGCTCTAGAGAGGAACAAAATAAGTATTCGCAAGGAAACAGCTGAAATAAGTATATTTCCTCATCCCTAAAACTCAGCAGTTTCAGCCAACATTTCTATTAACAAACTATACCATGTGGTTGATCGTAGTGCATAGTGCGTAGGCTTAGGAGCTCAGGGCTTAGGTCTTTGGTTCTCAGCTGCTGCAATGATCCCCATAGAGTTTCTATGCATTTTACAAATGGGGCTCTGTGTGTAAGGACAGCATCCAGAAATGGAACAGGTGATCTCCCCGACAGATGCATCAAGGGGACCACGTTTGTTAAACTGCCCGGGAGTCCAGCCTGGCCCTGCAGCTTCCCTGGCACAGCGAGGCTGGTAAAGGGCTGGAGGTTTCAACTGGAAAGTTGCCCTAGAACCAAAAAAGAAAATAATAATCCATTCTTTGTCTATTCAGAACATTTTGGATTTGAGCAATAAATAGGCTGTCAGGTTTGTGGGTTTTTTCCTAGTAGTTTAAGTCTGTGCAGTGTATTGTAACGCACTCCCCTGACACGACAAATACGACAGTGATGTCAGAATCAGTGCTAACTCCTGACCCTGTCATCAAACGAGGTGACACAACAGAAGTCTTCTGAGGTCTCGCTTCTACCCAGGCTGCTTGGTGCAACCCGGTACCTTGATCCCTCCCTCCTTGTTATAAACCGGGTAAATTGATTTGATAAGGATAACCAACGGCCAGTGTATTCATATTAAAGGTACTTCCAGCGGGAGAATCACAGCTTATTTCAGGAGTAGAGTCAGGGCTAGGAGAAAAAAAATATCTCTAAGCTCTGTCTGGCACTACTACAGACCAGTCTGAAATCAGCTCACCCTGGCTTTGTCAGCCACTGTTCTGGCCTACCATTTTGAAAGGCTTGAACTCAGCAAAGGCAGCCATGAGAAATCTGTACAGAGAAACTTTTGAGAGTAAAGTTTGATAAATAGCTCAAACTAGAACAAAAACTAACACAGAAACAATACTTCTGTGAGGGAAAAAACCCCAAACCAAACACAAAACAACTAACACAAAAAAAACCCCAAACCAACACAAAATGTAGTTTAAAAACTGAGCTATAAAGATGCACCTTCTCCTGATCCCGATCAGTGTTTCTCTCACTTTACATTAACGGCAATACGCAGGCAGTTTTGGTGAGTGCTGTGTGTGCAAAAAAGCAACTCCTGGGCACAGCTTTGGGCAGCGCCTGCAGGCAGGTGAAGTGCCCAAAAGAACAAGGACAAAGATTTTGCTTCATTAGGATGTGCTGGGCTCCAGCCCAGCTCCGCTCCCATCGTGAGCGCTGCCATGTCAATATAGAATGTTCTTATGTGGGACAACTATTAATGCAACTATTAAGATGACAAAAAGCTCGCCAAGCACATAAGTGATGTAAGAGGGTACTTACGTCCTCAGAAGGGACCGTACCAGGCTGTGTTGGCAAAGGGGTACGGAACAGGGGAAAAAAAAATCAAGGCATAGCTCCGACTAGTTTGTTCTTTAGACAATGCTTTAAAACTATCATAATTTTATATCTGTGCGTGTGCGTGCTTTTCACTTGTGCTTTAACATGTACCGACTTCATCTAGCTGTGACCAAAGTAAGCGTTTCCTCCCGTGGTGTGAACAGCTGTCTGCAGTGCAAGGCAGGACGTGTGAGCTTCACAGCCGGGACCGCCACCGCGACCAGCAGCGCCGCGTTCGACAGCTGGAGTAACCAAAGCCAAAGCCCCATCTCTGACTCTCCATCCCTCAGTTGTCTCCCTCCCAGCACTCATCTTTTCAACTCCCTCCAATTTCTTTTTCCTCCACACAAATGAGCATACAACAAATCGACAGGAGTCCTGGGAAAAGGCTTCACGACTTCCTTTTCTGCCCACAAACTGCACATTCCTCTCCACACACAACTCCCCCCGGACTTCTGCCCACCCCTCTCATAAAAAGCTTTTCCCTGTCAGGCACACACATGACTCTGTATCAGCTCTTTTGGACGTTGCTGACTTGTGGGGGCTTCTTAGTTGTGCCTTTTTTTTTTTAAAATCCCTCCCACTGTTGACTCAACAGGAGTCAATCCCCCCTCCTCCCCCAAGAATGATCTAACAGCTGCCATCACAAACCACACCAATATTGTTTCCCAAGTTGACCTCATGGGAAAAAAGCTGTCTCCTGCTCCAAACCTCCTGCACAGTTTATTACCAAAATATGGTAAATCTAGAACAAGTAACAGCACACCAGAGCATAAAAAAGTTACACATTTTCTCATTTTTAAATTAAGCTATTGTATTTGAAAGATAGCTACTCCATTAAAAAAGTCACACAAGGAAATGTTTGATTTTTTTTTAAATGTGAGTTATCAGGTCATCTGAGAAAGCTAAGCATAAAAATATAATTTAACTAGGATGTAAACTGTGATTTGCTGAATGCAGAAACAATCATCAGCCACCTTTTTTACTATTTTCAGAGATAGCCAGCAGAAATACTAGCATTGCTATAACATGGATACAGGCCCTTAACCAAAATACGACTTTTAAGACCAAAATTCACAGAAACCTTACCTTTCTGTATGCATTGTGATCTCCAGTGGCTCTGTGGGAATTTGTAGAGGCTCCGTGGCGATGGGCTGAAATGCTCGGACGTGCTCCAGAGGGGATGCTCGGACCCGCAGTTACAACTTTGCCATGACATCAGCTCAGAAAGAGCTGCCACCTCCGGACACCAAGAGCCACTAATACTGAACTCACAAAGATAATGTGTACTTTTTAAAGCACCAGTGACCGAGGACCACTACAGCTGAGTGTTATACTATGATCTGTTAAACTGGTTTGGACCTTTGTTAGTGTTCTCATAAAACAGCCCACTTGCGAGCTTTATCAAACCAAGAGGGTGATGGTATTTAAGTACTTGGTATTTCTGTAAAAAACTGGAACTGCATAAACTTAAAAAAAAAAAAAAAGTAAAATAAAAGCAAAGAAGAAACTACCCCTTTCAACATTATAATTTGGAGCAAATTAAGCACGCAACCTTCTCCCGACACTGCTCCGATTCCTTTCCAAACTTGTGGTCTTTCAGAGTGCAGCATTAGAACAGCTCACGCGCAGAGCCCTGCCAAGGCAGCAGAGACCCTGGGACCCGATGAAATGGAAGTTGATTCAAGGCAGGAAATTGAGTTGGTCAGATGCGTTGAAGATGATGGCAAACAGAAACTCCATCTTGAAGCTGTGTATAACCCCTCCCAAACAGAAACTCCATCATGAAGCTGTGTATAACCCCCCCCCAAACAGAAACTCCATCATGAAGCAGTGTATAACCCCCCCCAAACAGAAACTCCATCTTGAAGCTGTGTATAACCCCCCCCAAACAGAAACTCCATCATGAAGCTGTGTATAACCCCCCCCAAACAGAAACTCCATCATGAAGCTGTGTATAACCCCCCCCAAACAGAGACTCCATCATGAAGCTGTGTATAACCCCCTCCCCTCCCTGCCAGCCCACCTGCAGACGTGTGGACCCGCCGAGGAGCACAGGCCCCTCGGAGAAGGAAAGGCGCCGCCAGCACCGCCCGGGGACAGACGGCCGGCCCCGGCCGGGACAAGGGCCCAAAGGTTTCATCCCGTGCGGCCGAGCAGGGGCTGTCCGGTCACCCCGGGCCCTCCCGGCTCCGCTTTCTCCTCCGGCGGGGGCGCGGGGCCCAGCACGGCTCCTCCCGACGCGGCTGCCAGCGGGGGGGCCGGGGCCGCCGCTCCCTCCCCGCAGAGGCACCGGAGCCGGAGGAGCCCTCCCCGGGTTGGGGGGGGGCTGTCCGAGAGGACCCCCCGTCTGCACACACCGAGTGAGACGGTGGCAGGGCCGCCGCTTCCCCGCCGGGGCTGCCGTTCCCCGGGGGCGACCCGAGGGGGCCAGCCCCGCCGGGGAAGCGGGAGCCCTGGACGGGGTGGGATGGGGCTGCTGGCGCCGGAGGAGGCTCGGGCGAGGTTGTGAACGCATCTGGATGTGGATTAAAGTTTCTATGGCATGCAGCCAGCGCTAGATTTAAATGTAATAGGAATGGCAAGAAAACCACGTGAGATATAAAACACATCAGTCTGAAAACACATTTAAAAGGAGGCAAGGAAGCAATTTTGTTAGTAAGCCTGAGATTCTCTGAAGGAGGACAGCTCCAGTCAGTTCCAACAGACCATGTGTGTTAACAGGAGATACTGATGTAGTTTAAAAAAAATAATCCAGATTTAATTAAAATAACTATGTACATATGAGACATATAGTAAAGGTCCTCCGTGCTCCAAAAGCCCCTTACAATAACTTCTATATTACAAATGTTGTCTTCCAGCATCTGGGCACACGAGTATAGATCCTGCAGGGCTCTACAGGACTCAGATTCAGATCACCTGAATTCAAACAATAACATTGTCCTTCAGCACGCACAGGGCTTTGCCACTATTGCTGGTGTTTATTGCAGTGCTCAGAATTGGGCCTTACAGCCGGGCTTTACGAACAGAAAGCACGCAGGCTTCCTTCACCAAATTTGCATCTGATCAAATGTTAAAAAACAAACATCTGTTTTCATGAAGATTTTCAGTAAAACAGCAGTGTCTCAGCTCTCCCAAGCAACTGCTCTCCACCAGGCTTGTGCCTCTGCCTGTGCCGCACGGCCCCGCTCAGCCCAGAGGGGACCCCCGTGTCCCCCTGACAGCCCCTTTCAGCTCACCCTTCGCTCTTCTTTGGGCTGAGATTTCCCACACATAAAGCGTCCTGGCTGAGCCATTCTCCTCCCTGTAGGCACCTGCCTTGTCACACCTTTACCTTGTCACCCTGTCCCACGGCACAGGCAGGTGGTGGCTCGGGGCAGAGCTGTGCAGGTGACACTGCCCGTGGCCGCAGAGCCACGACCCGGCTGACGGGGCAACAGAATCACACAGAATGGCCATGGTTGGAAGGGACCTGAGATAATCAAGTCCAACCTTAAAACAAACAAACAAAAAAACCACCAAACCAAACAACAACAAAAAAACCCCACAAAACGCAACACCCCACCACATCACACCCACTCATAAACCAATAATCTTAGGCACCAGAGCATGCCCTGAAGAGCCATGTCTACACGTTTCTTAAATACCTCCAGGGATGGTGACTCCACCACCTCCCTGGGCAGGCTGTTCCAGTGCCTGACCACCCTCTCAATAAAGTAATTCTTCCTAAGATCTAATCTAAACCTCCCCTGCCCCAACTTCAGACCATTCCCTCTGCTCCTGTCATTATTCACTTGGGAGAAGAGGCCAACCCCCACCTCTCCACACCCTCCTTTCAGGGAGTTGTAGAGGGCAATGAGGTCTCCCCTCAGCCTCCTCATCGCCAAACTAAACATGCCCAGTTCTCTCAGCTTCTCCTTGTGTGACTTGTTCTCCAGACCCCTCCCCAGCTTGGTGGCTCTCCTCTGGACACGCTCCAGCAGCTCAGTGTCCTTCCTGTAGTGAGGGGCCCAGAACTGAGCACAGCACTCGAGGTGAGGCCTCACCAGTGCCCAGTCCAGAGGCACCATCACTTCCCTACTCCTGCTGGCCACGCTGCTCCTGATACAGGCCACAATGCTGTTGGCCTTCTTGGCTACCTGGGCACACTGCTGGCTCATGTTCAGCTGGCTGTCCACCAACACTCCTTGGTCTTTTTCTGATGGGCAGCTTTCCAGCCACTCTTCCCCGAGCCTGTAGTGTTGCCTGGGGTTGTTGTGACCGAAATGCAGGACCCGGAAATTGGCCTTATTGAACCTCATCCCATCAGCCTTGGCCCACTGATCCAGTCTGTCCAGATCCCTCTGTAGAGCCTTCTGACCAACCCTCAACCAGATCAGCACAAACTCACCAACGCAAACAGCATTTAATGCTCCCCAAGAACTAGTGTCCTGTGGTGTAAGCCTAATACACCCACCATTTTCCTTAAATAATATACGCTGCAAGTCTGAATTTAAAGCTTCTGCCTACCCTGTGAGCTCGAACACAAGGATTTGCTGCTCGGCCACTGGATCCCACCCTCCAGCCCTGCAGTCCCCACTCAGGCAGTCCCAAATGCTGTCTCCTCCCACCGCTGTGGCCACCCTGCCCAACACAACATCCATGCCCACAACCATTGGTGTCACAGGTTTTTGTGCTAATTCAAATGCTTTATATTGAGATTTCATTGCAGCCATCACTGAATGCCAGAAGCATCCTCAAACACGGCTCCTCACATCTGGAACAGCTCAGAGCACACACCACCTTCGCTATCGACCTCCAGCCCAAACTCTCCCTTTTCCTGCCTCCACGGAGCTGGTCCAGAGCTGCCTCTGCTGAAACCCACCCACGCCTCTGAAAAGCTTTTGCACTGGTTTTAGTTGGTTTGGTGTTTTTCCCCCCCCCTGGCAGCCATTAGGACATAACACAGGCAGCCACAGCCCCCGACTCCCCGCATGGGCCACTGGCCAGACCGGGACCCTGGCCCACTCCTGCCCCAGCCACGGTCTCAGCGTTTCGCAGGGAAGGCGAGTCAGCCCAGGGTGTGCAGCGAGCGCTCTGTGACCTCCCACAGAGACAGGAGAAAAAACAGGACTTCTAGTGGGTCTCCTAAAACCAAACCGAGATTTCTACTGAATTCCAAGGTGTGAATTTGGCTGGTTTAAAATACACCTTGTTGGGTATAAGAAGATCTCAACACAGGTTCAGTCAAAACCCCCATGTGTTATTATTACATTTAATTATGCTTATTATTATGTTTATTATTTGTAACGGCCCACCTTCTACTGCCCTGTGTGGGGAGGATCCCAGCCGCAGCCGCCTCTCGGCACAGACACACGCACCCGCTTTGGTATCGAAATCTTTATTAGAACAATCCCCAAGAGCTGCAAAACAGTGAAGTAACAACAAAATTAAATATTAAACACTTTAGTTATCAAAGATATTTAAACAATATGTTCCTATTTCTGCATAGCAGAAGCAAACAGGTTTTAGAGCTCAAACGGTGGTGCTCATGTTAATTTGGTTTTGGCAAGACAATAATATAACCTTAATAATCACATTAATGAAACAGTAACCTCCCTTCCATTTCTTAAACCTTTAAGAGCCTTTTTTGTGATTTCAGAACTCATTATTTGGGACAAATACATGTGGACTTTTTATAGCATAGGATAACAGACTATTTTAATATTAGTAGCACTAGGGTTACTTAAACATGAAGAACCAGTTATCTTTCTAATTTGATTACAGCGCAGTACAAATTACATATTACCTCGAAAATCATTGCCTGTATCAAAAGTTAAAAAATTTAAAATAATGTATAAAACACTTCCAGAATAGCAAATTATCAGTTTTGAAACGAAGAATGAACTTTATGCTTATGGACATGCAAACAGATGTATTACAGTAACATACCATGTTATTTGCTAGCCTTTTTCCTTCTGTTTTAAGTAGCAAGGGCCCTGTTTTCCCTCAGTTACACAGGTACAATAAGTTTGATCATTGTCACTGAAAGCAGAACAGGCCGTACGCAGAAGTTCACTACGCCATAACTTAAAGCCATAAAAAAAATCTACTACTAAAAATGAAACAGTCTTGCATTGCTTTCATTTAGTTATTTGCAACACCACAATCGTCACGTTTTCCCCCGGAGCACACCGACCACTTTCAGCATCTGACAAGAGGGAAATGGTGTGCGCTGCGTTACGTGGGTCAAACACATCCGACATACAATTCATTTTACATTAGCTGATTTGAAATAAAGAGAGTGTAGCTTTTCCTATCTAGCCTTTTCTGTTTTATACTCTACACGGTGTGAACAAACTTCAAAGCATAAGCCAGGTACACTGGCAGCCAGTAAGGCACTTTGTCAGGCGGAGCAGCGGGTCAAAGGGAGACATTCTACGTTTCCAGAAACAGCCAGTTTATTCTTCGCAATCACTTCTCTGACAACCCGTGTTTTAGAAGAACACTTACTGACTGTCCCAGCATCAGCTTAACACTGTGTCCGCCAAAATCTTTTTTCCTGCTCTACAGCAGAACACACAACAGTAAAATACTTCACACTTTTAAATCCCAGTGTTTAAAAGACTATTCAGCATCCATCAGTTGCTGAATAATACTTGGGAAAAAACCCAACCCTCAGCATAAGAAATTATCCCATCTTTCTTTTTCTTTGTTTTGTTTCTGTGTTTCTGGGGGTCACTCTTTTTTTTTTTTTTTTTTTTTTTTTTTTTTTTTTTTGTTTGGTTTTTTTACAAAATTTGAAGGCTCGACATTAAAACTTTGGTCTAAAACATGTAAATGAAAGCCATCCATTAACATGCCGTAGGGACACACCATGAACCCAAGCAGAACAAACCAAAGGTGATGCATTGTGATAGCGGGTGTTTGCTGCTGCTCCTGGGGTTCTACAGCCTGTGCGGTCGGGATCCTCTGCAGAGTTCCTTCTCTCAGGAGAAGGGTCTCTCCGCAGAGCCCCCTGCCCTGCCGACCCTCAGCTCCTGCATCCCCTCCCTGCCCCTCCAACACCCCCGGCCCCTCATCCCGCCTGCGCGGGGGAAGGGGGGGGAGCCTCCCCCCAGCCCCACGGGCTCAGCAGCAAAGCACACACGGCGTGGCAGACACGGCCGCGTGTCCCGCTCTCTACAGCCAAGAATGGAATTTTAAATTTTATACTAAACCAAGCAACAAAGTAAATGTCCAAATCCATAAACGCTGCTACTCTGGTGTAAGGAGGAGTTTGGATCCGTTACAGCAAGTTAGTCCTAAAATATTTTAAGTGATTCTTTCCCAAGTAAATACTTGCATTAATTTCTACTTAATTAATTAATAGCAATTTATTTTTGAAAGGCCAATTTTAATATTAAATCATTTTGATTTATTTGTTCAATTTATTGATTACAAAATCTACATGGTATTGCTTCATATTTTCACAGTTCTCATAATTATGTCATTAAGAAAATGGCTTTTAAATTTTCTTCTCAGAAATGATGATCACTTACATTCTAAATAATTTCACAAAATAGTGAGTGGAGCAAATTTATACATATATATATTTACTGTATATAAATAATAATACAATTTAAAACTTTCACTTTTAGAAATGCCTTTAGTAAATGCATAGGTTTGTTACAAAAGTCTTCTAATCAAATAACTGTATACTATTTCTATTATGTGTTATTCCTAGTAAACTCTATGGTTACATTCATATGATAAAAAAAGCACGCTGTGTTCAGAAATACACTTTTTCAGTTGAGCTCCCAGAAAGACACTCAAGTCCAGTAGAAATACAGATTACTTAATGCAGTCTCTTTAACTGCAAATAATCACACAGTAGTATTAAAAAGAAAGAAAAAAAAGCTTTAGCACAGGGACTGTAATCAGACCAGCAGCCTTTTTGATCACAGAATGGTGACACAAACCCCCAGAACTCTCAGAAGAGATTAGAGCAACGAGGGGGCTGTATCTTCAATGCCATGCCCATAACGAGAAGAGAAGGATGACAACAACGAAATACTTCATTAGCCAAGAGTCTGAATTCTTCTGAAGGTGGGTTTCTCAGCCCTTTCTGAAAGTTGGGTTTCCTCTGGGCTATCTCAAGAGGGGTCCATCAAACTGCACACCCTTATTTTACGTTACTCGGGTCCTAAACCGAACCGCTCCTTTCTGCCTCAGGGAAGGGGCTGCAGGGCCAGCTGGGTCGCAGTGTCCTGCTACCTCTGCCTCAGCTCCCAGGGCTTCGAGATCCCACCATGCCCATGACGGCAAGCGTGAGGGTGGTAACCCCCTCTGCACCCAGGTGACCCCAGACCCGTGGCCTCTGTAGTGCAATTGCCACAAACTGGAGCCACAAGCTAGAGAGCAAAATCACCTTGGCATGTGCATTGCCAGTAAATTTTCCTCAAAAACTTGCATTCAAATCACCCGGAAAATAATTTACCTTTCTGTTTGTGACAGCTAGGGACTCCTGGGGCCGGGAGGAGCTCCTGCAGCAGCCTGGCAGAGGGATGGCAGGTGCCGCTCCGGGAAGTGGGCAATCACGGAGCACCTCCCTCCGTGTGGTGGAACCCACCAACACCAGGGGCAGGCCCCAATAAGACTGGGTCCTTGGGCAGCCATGAGATTAATAAATTAAAACCTTTTTAGCTCAGCTCACGACAGACCGGACGTGAGAAGCAGTCCGGTGTAAGAGCTTCCCCATGAGCAGAGCTGCTCCTAACCTCAGCGACAGCGCTGCTGCTGGGAGCAAAACCAAACAGAAGGTTAATGTGGTTTCTACCAATAGTTTATGTACTAATGACCAGGCAAACTCAATAATCAAAAAGCAAACTAAATTGTTAGGAGCATCTTTCAGTAGCTAAATCCTGTATCATGAGAAGACTCAAGTTCAATGTCTTAACAACTTTCTGTGTGAGCCACCAAGAGCCTGGAGACCCGCAGAAGGAGCAGAGCTGGCCCCCAGACCCACATGGCCACTTCCATGGCTCACTAAGAAGCCCTTCCGAGCTCGAAGAGGCATTCCTTGTGCACATGTATGGCCAAGACTTTCTTCCAAGGAAAAAAAAAGACTGCATTTGGTTTTCTTTTCAATGAAGCTCAACTTCCTCGTAATGTGGAACACAATCAGAGACTCGTTAGAGACAGGGGGATATTAACACAAGTGCATCTTGCTTAGACATCAGCTAAAAACAATACATTCACCATCTTGTACCAGATGAAACCTCATTTGTGTGAGCCACAAATCACTTCAAGTGCAGTGGGACCTTCTCTCAGTTACATCATCTTTTAAGCACAACTCACAGAAAACGTCACTTTAAGCGGAATCAACTATTGTCTTCTCTGACCACCTCCTTTGGGACCTGCAGGTACCACCATTTCTTAAAAGATGCAGTTGTGGATGTGATTAAAATATCACTACATTTTTCAGCGTAGGGAATCATTAATGCATGTATAATCACAGTTTAAACAGCTGTGAACCAGCTTGTACAAAAAAATACAATCATAGCACCATATTTACAAATTTAGTACCATCTCCTGGTTAACTAGAGAGTCCCAAACTATCTTTTTTATGGCTAATTAGGTTATATGTTAGTGCTTTCAAAAAATCGCCTGAATTTCTTTTACAAATATACACTTATAAAAAGAAACATTATCAAAACTGCTGTCATCTAAGGCAGCAACTTGTGTTACAAAAGTTATTAAAACATCATTATAGGCTTAAAAAAGCTTCAAATTTACATTTTCCTTTTCATAGGCACTCTATAAACTAAAACGTGGCCTTGTTTTCACAGCTGTTAGTTCAAGCATTTAAACTAGTTAAATGTTACCAATGTTGCTCATTTTTTTTAGATATAAGCAAAATGAAAAAAAAAAATCACCCATTAACCAGAAGCATCATTTACAGTTTTTTACTTTTGCCTACTTTATACACGTTTTGCTTAAATGTGACACTGTTTTGACGTTGAGGTTTAGTGTCTTATCCCACTGCCTTCTTAGGGCTTAGTTCCTTCTTCCCTAGAATTCGGTGAAGGCTAGCTGACATGAAGTAGGGTTTTGCTGTAGATCCATCATTTCTTTCCAGGTCTTCACCTGAATTTACAGCAAAAGCAGCCAAAAGAGCAAACAGCAGTGCAGACACGCAGAGAATTGAAGAAAGGAGAGAGAGCAAAAGACCCAACATTAAAAAACAAATCTGAATCAAGGCAATTCAGCTGCATTGTTAAGTTGATGAAGGACATAAAATTTCTATTTCCTCAAACCAGAAGAGGTTCTACACAAAGCAGAGACACAAACATCTAGCCATTTTTAAATGACAGCAATATACCCTTTTTATTCTCCGGTTCTCTGGTTTGGCAATACAGGTGGAAATTTTCAGAAACGCTCATGTCTCTACCAAAACCTGGCATTTTGAATACTTCTTGCTAAAAAATGTGTCCCAAAGACAGCTGTGAATTTAAGCACTTTTTAAAACTGGGCCATTTTTCACTACCTCAGATAAAGATCTTTTGAAAACTTGATTCCACAAGCACACAATATTCTATATGATCTCCTGCTGCCCATTACTGAAAGGAAGCATGGGAAGCAAAACAGAAGATTAATTTAAAATAACGAGGCAGACGTATCACTTTTTTCCCTCCAGAAGGTCATGACTAAATCACGGGTCTGGGTTCAGCCCAGTGTTTCTACCCTGGAGCAGTCACAGTCCCATGAACATCTCACACTGATGGGGAAGCTGGGGGGGTGCCGAGAAGCTCCCCAACCCTGCCGAGGGGGAGCTGCTCTGCAAAGCCAAACCAAGAGCGCTCGATGTAAGGAATGGCCAAAGAGGCTGGAGGAAGCAAATCTTCACATATCTCCAGGGCAGTATTTTCCACGTGGTTTTAGAATAAATTAAAGAGAACATCTGTTAATTTTTGAGTGCACCAGCTTCCTATATGTTAGGAGTTCGATCAATTTCCATTTCACTCTAAATAACAGTATCTATTTATTTATTTATGGTTTAGCTTATTTCTTGGAGTGTTTTTAGTGCTATGTCTGTTTGTGATTATCTTTGTTTAGAACCAAAGCGCATAATGTGAGATAAATAGGACATAGCTCTCAACTAGACATCCATTTTCAGTTTTCTGACCAATTTTGTTCCTGTGATTCTTTGTCAACCCAGTATTTCAAGAATCACTGCTAACCTCAGTTCCTAGGCAAGCAGGGTTAAAAGGGTGAGTGTTCAAAGGAAAGAAAGAATTTATGCTATTGTAAGAGGAGGAGAATCAGTATTGTCATGTTTATCTTGCCCTGGTGACCCACCATGCACATGATAGATCAAGCCTATGACTGTTCCAGTATTCCCTTACTATTACCAAATAATTCACCAGCTGCTAGAACAATCCCTGTCATGTAACTTCTACTTGGACCTACCAGAATAACTTTCATTATACAAAAATTGTATCTTTATTTCTTTAATTGAGTGAATCTAACAGAATGTATTTTGTAATAACTACGTCGTCTTCTTATAATCATGTCCTAATTTGAGACCAACACATTCTGTTGTGATTCCAGTATTCTCCGACTGGCGCACGTTGAACAGCAGCCCCTTTGAGAGTGCCCACGATGGCCTGCCACTGAGGGGTTCAAGGGACAGATAGTTCTTTAAATGGTATTTTACACAAAATTGAAGGTAATTCACCATAATACTTTGTTCAGGACTACTGAGCTGAAAACAAAGGACCACCTATATACCAAAGAATAACTTTGTTATTAACAGGAGGTTTGAGTGAATCATTGCTCTAAAAGGGCTCTTTACAAACTGTTAATCTGAAAAACAAAAGCCAGATATCCTCTTGAGCCATAAAACTACCTTCCATTACCTAAACTAATTAAATTTGAATACTAAAACACTTCTGCACTCAAGAACGCATCAAGGAGCCAGTCTGAAAAGCAGCAGTAGTTTGTTTTTCACAGTCTGCTAGCATGTCACCAGAATTCTGTAAGAAACAGATAGGGTGGTTTTCTACTCCTCCTCCTGTGACTTGAAGGTATTAGTGAAAAAAACCATAGTACTTACAAAAGCAGAGGAAAAGCGTGTCGACACACATTGCATAGACGCTGAAGAACCCATGTGCAACCAGGTAGGAGCCAATTATGACCGTCTACAAAACAAACCACACACCACCACAATAAACCCCCAAATTTAGTTTGGCATCAACACGGCAGTGTTAACGCAAGTGAGAAGCCCAGTCTGGTAAGGAAGGTTGGGAGGATTTAATGGCAACTCTGCAGCCCTACCAGAGGTTGCCACTGCCCTAGAAAAGGATCACAGGTTTGGGACACTGTATCCTAACATGCAGTAGCCACTAGTTTTCCATCTGCCAAATTGCAGCCACGTCAACTCCCAAAGACAATATATGCCAAGAATATTCTGAACTCCTTCAAGATTATTCTAAAGCACTATTCATCTGGAGTTTAGGGGGACTACAAAAAGAGAAGGGGATGCATCACAAGTCCCTTCCATTAGAAGCCACATTGTCACTGGTGCCTCAGCACCCACCCGCCTTGCTGTGAGTCTGAGCAAAGCAGATGTGAAACCTACTTCTTCTGAAGGTGTGAGTCACTGCAGTGCCCCTTGTGCCTGCAGGATGCAGAGTACTGCGTCCCCCCTGCAGGGGACAGCCTGCCAGCAAGAGGCTGACAGGAGGGTGACCAGAGCATGCCCTGAGCAGTCTGAGCACCTCAAGCTGCCCTTGGCACTCAGGAGATTCAGGGGTTGCCTTACCAACAGCGGTACCCAGTAGTAATTCAAGGCTGGGGCTTCCTGCGCAAAGATGGGAATTCTCTGTGTGAAGAAAAAGAATGCAAGGACACCTGCAAGAAGCACAGGAGATCAGTCATCCCTACGCTGACTCTGGTTTCCCAACAGAATGGATGAGACAAAACAAACAAAAAATAGACCCAAGGGTGGTTTAAGTAAGAGCTTGTAAACAGTTAATTCCTCAATACTAATAATCCGCTGGATCTATACCCTGACAGAAAAGATATGTAAATTAATCAATTACCATAAAGATATTCATGGGCCCATAAAGAGTTTAATGAATTGTTTTGTTTCATCATTCCACTGGATTTAATAGAAAAATTAATAAATAATGATAAACAAGACAATGACACGGGATAGCAAAGACCAAAGGCGGATCTTTTCTAAAATAAAAAGAAGAGTGAAAAAAATCCTGCTGCTTTAAATTTTATAGCTTGAAGAAATATGTAACTATTTCAGAATGAAAGGAGAAATAGCAGTGCTAGTGATAAGCACAGTAATAGGTTTAAAACAGATAAATGCATCTACAACAGAAATTACCCAAAGAATTTATTCTTAAAGAGGACCAAGACATTAATTAATTTCAGTATTTCACGGCTTACATTTCAGGGAATGTTTCAAACCAAATTTGCTACTCCAGTTTGAAAGCGATTCTGCAGTAATGACAAAATATCTTAGATCTGTTCTTGGTACTAATTTTCAACTTTTGATCAAAATATAATTCATTAGTAATCTAAAATATACAGAATACAAAATACAATTATTTGTAAAACAATGTTTGAAACTGCTGTGACAATTTAGAAGAACCATAAGGGAATACTGCCAGCATGAATTTCTGAAAGTCATAGAACGGTTTTGGGTTGGAAGGGACCTCAAAGATCATCAAGTTCCAACCCCCCTGCCCTGGGCAGGGACACCTCCCACCAGCCCAGGTTGCTCCAAGCCCCCTCCAACCTGGCCTTGAACCCCTCCAGGGATGGGGCAGTGCTGCATTTAAAAAAAAAATAATCACTTTTCTGTCACAGAAAAAGATGAATAATATATTTTGATATTTACTGATAACTAAGAAAGCCCTATAATAATATTAGAAATGTTTTATTTCTTTTACTATAGCTTATATCTATAATGGGCTTGAATACAGCAGTGTTTCAGGCCCATCTCCTGCAGACCTGTCCCATCTCCCACTGTATGCTTGCTGTCTGCTACCAGGTCAATTTCATTTGCAATTTTGTTCAGTGCTTATGGAAGGAGAACTGATTGTGGCTGACTTATCGGGTGTGAATTTGGTCAGCTGTGATGCTTTGGCTACAGGAGTCCTTGCGCCAGGAACACATGTGAGACCAGTAAAAGCAATTACAGAAGAGATGCCATCAACAACACACCAGGGCCGGAGAGGAGGGGAAAAAATAAAAAAAATATATATTTTAGTTCAATCTTGCAAATCTTAGAAACATGGGAACAGGTTCCCAAATAGTCAGACCAACGGGAACGTTCAGCCATTAACTAAGCACATATGAATATGGAAGGCACACTCGTAGGTACCAGAAACATAACCGTTGGAAAAAAAATCTATTAGCTTACCTACACCACCAGCAACCAGAATTTTCCCCAGGAATAAAAGGAAATCTGTAACTTTGTCCAGAACTGCAACTCTGTTCAGCAAAAGACAAATGATACACAATCATCACAAACCAGACACTTGTATTCTTTTCCCTTAAATCCATGGCTAAATTGACAGAACACGAGAGGAAGCTGCCTTCTGCTGGCATCACAGCTGACGATACAGCGACACTGCACTGAGACGGGCTTTGCTGCAGCCTGATCCCACGGGGCTAAACAGCACCGAGCCCCGTGTTGAGTTGGGCCCTGAGCAGCAACACAGCTACAGCACTTGAAGATTCTTTGTTGCTTTTGATGGTTAAAAACCAAACCAATCCATCCAAATATTTTTATTTCAGCCTTTCTACAAGGGCCACAGATGAGCCAGCCCAGAAGAGTACACACCAAACCAAAAAGCAATGTTTGTGTAGATTGTCCCTAGGTCTTCTTTTCACTTGCTCCTATCTGGCCACATCTCATGACCCCCTAACATGCCAAATCTACTATTTTAAGATACGATGGTACAACACTAAAGGCAGGAGGCCTCCGAGCAGGGAGACAATCACAGATGAATGAATGAAGATAGACAGAAAAATTGACAATAAATCTGCAGCCCTCACTGAAAGCAACAGCAGGGACTTTCTGCTCGAAATCCTGCCAGTCTGTCTTAGCAGAAACTGCAGGTAAAGAATGGGATGGAAAATGAGCTTTGTATCATCATAGCCTCTTGACAGCACTATGGATATGGTAATAGACAGCACTGACTACCATGAAAGATAAATGTTAAGAAATATTAAAGAGAACAAATCATCATTAACCTGTCAGAATTCAGAATTAGCAAAATACACAAGATAAAATGATGTCCATTTGAAACAAAATTATTTTTTGAACAAAAAATGTAATTTTTTTAATGTGAAAATGTAATTTTTACAATTTTGAACAAAATTACATAGCTAAAAGCTAAGCTTTTAGCTATTGCTCTTACTGATTAAAAGCAAAAGCACAAAGGAGGGTGATGTTCTGAAAGCAAGTGGAGGTGGCTTCACCTTCCTATTGCACAGGCCCCACACGGCGCGGACACCACTGCACAGTACCAGTGCAGGGACACAGGAGAATTCCCCCATCTCCAACCCTTCCCTCTTCTGTATTAAGCATCGCTTCCTTTTTCCTGCCTTTCAGCCTCCCTCTCCTCCCAGTCCTTCATTTAACAATCTAAACCAGTTTTACTGTGTCTCTTGCTTGGTAATTGGATTGTCTGCTATTGCATCAGCACAGCCTGCTCCTAAGTTTTCTCCCATTATTTTTTGATCTCACGGTAGAACAGGAAGAGCCAGGAGCAATGAAGAGAAGTACTGATGAGAATGGGGAGTTTGGCAGCAGTCCTGGTAGTGGGGAAAAGGGCCAGGGGAGTTCCCAGCACCAGGGGAGATCTGGCTATGTTAAAGATAGTGGTTTTGAAAGCAAAGTACTCTCTCTTCTTTACACTCTCTGACACCCCATCAGCTTCCTGGATGAATCTGAAGACGTAGGTCTTTCTGCTCTCCTTTTCACAGACAGTGAGTGGACCCGAGCCCAGGAAATACACATACAGCCAATGATGAGCACCCACTCCTGTACGTCCATAGATCTCCTCTCCGGTTCCATGGGGCACTATTGCAATCTACTGGACACTTAAGAATTTAAAAGAGCAATCACAACAAAACTGTTAGGTTATATCAACGTCGCACAGGTTACTGTGCTGGAGAGCCTGCTGCCACACACTGAGCATTTGATGTGAGGGCCATGTCTGAGGACAGAAGCAGCTTACAGTAATATTTGAAGGAGACACAGGAGAGGAAAGAACTGTGGCTTCAGAGTGCAATAGCACGAAATCCTGACATTTCCAAGGACTGGGAGATGGCCCCTTACCTCACCACATTCCGCATGAGCAAAAAGAATGCTTCCTTCGCTGACGTGCAGAAGTTTTTACCATATATGGCAATCTGCAAAATAATAGTAGCTGTTAAGTATTTTAAATCGTTAGGATACATCCTTGTATGCCAGAGTCTTACTGTGTGTAATGCATAATTCTCTCTAGTATGTGGCCTTGAAACTCAGATGGAGGTAAGGCCCCCATTCACCTGCTACTTCCCAGTGCTTCCCACCAGGTTGGGACACAGCATCATCCACCTTTCCCCTCCAAATCACCTGGTGATGAGCATGCACCCCTTGTGACCTTGCAGGCAGTAGACTCAGTACTTAATTTGCCAAGGAGAGCAAATAAGGTACTTGCTCAGGGATTCTTCTCGCTGTGAGTTACCTACACTAGATTTATAGACAGTGGAACTTGAAGAGCAGAAGTGAGTTGAGCCCTGTAGGTATCTCCTTGCACCTGACGCTGCTCTCACTTAAGAAGAAATCAACAATACTACTATCAAAGTCAGTGGATTTACGTCAGTATAAAGTAAAGCAGCTAAAGTTATTCAGGAACAAAACTCCTTCCTGGAATAGCGTCCACAAGGGTGAGACATATTAGAACAGCTTTTAATGCAGTCAGTTTAGCAACTGTAAAAAAGATAGTCAAAAAGAATACTGCTTCTTCAAGATGGCATTCATGTGAAACATCAATTGCATGAAAATGGGTTATAATGAACCTATTACAGCCACCTCTTTTGAGACAACAACTGTACCATTCAATCACTGAAATTTCTTCAAGTCAGAACATCCTAGGCTGTACACTGTGCATGCTTATTTCAGTGAAAGTCTGAAATTTCTCTCCTGGAAACTCCTGCTAGTAGAATTTGTGCTTTTAACTTCCAGGAGGAAATAAAGATACCACATGCCTCCTGACCTCCTTATTCAAATACTGCCTCCGAACAGCAGTGTCATCAACATGCAAACAAAACAAGCTATTATCCGTGTTGAAATCAGGATTTCAATAGCTGAATCAGAGGGGGGAGTTAATCAGTTATGCCATCCCTTCCCACTTACTTTGGGTGACGAGGGGGATGGACAAGGACAGGCATGAAAAGAGGCTGAGTTCAGAAAAAAGAAAAAAAAATCTTACTTTTTAATGATAGGACCACATGCATTTCCTGAAAACTCCCATTATTTATTCAGCAGATTCTATTACTGCTGGCTGCTGACCAACTAGCAGTGGCTAGGGTATTTTAGTGTCCCGGATAGGGAAGACCACATGCAGAGACAGCACATACCATGATGTAGGCATTTCTGTTTATAAATTTTAAGAATTTTTCCAAACACCAGAAACAGCATTTGAGGCAGCAGAGTAGAAATCTAGTGAAGGAGTTCTGTGTACCTGAAAAAAAAGGAGACAGTACATCATACAGGACCACATGCATTTCCTGAAAACTCCCATTATTTATTCAGCAGATTCTATTACTGCTGGCTGCTGACCAACTAGCAGTGGCTAGGGTATTTTAGTGTCCCGGATAGGGAAGACCACATGCAGAGACAGCACATACCATGATGTAGGCATTTCTGTTTATAAATTTTAAGAATTTTTCCAAACACCAGAAACAGCATTTGAGGCAGCAGAGTAGAAATCTAGTGAAGGAGTTCTGTGTACCTGAAAAAAAAGGAGACAGTACATCATACATAGAATCATCGAATCATAGAATTGTCTAGGTTGGAAGGGACCTTTAAGATCATCTATTCCAACCATCAATGTAACTCTGATTAAAAAAAAAAAATTCCACATCTCTAAACTATGTCACTAAGCACTATGTCAACCCATCTTTTGAATATCTCCAGGGATGGTGCCTCAACCACTTCCCTGGGCAGCCCATTCCAAGACTTACTAATCCTTTCAGTGCAAACATTTTTCCTAATATCCAATCTGAACCTCCCCTGGCACAACTTGAGGCCGTTTCCTCTTGTCCTGTCACCTCTTCCTTGGGAGAAGAGCCCAACTCATGAAGAGTCTTTAGAACATAGAAAGCTATTCAGAAGAAAATCTGAAAGTGTGACAAAAGCAGAAACATTTTTTTTTCTTCTAGGTATGGGCTCTCTTTCTCAACCAAATTTAGCTACATAGCTTTCAAGTAGATCAGACCCACATCCCATAGGAACTTTGCATTAAGTTCCCAAGGACATAGACTCAGTTTGAGTAAATCAGCACAAATTCACTGGCTTCAAATGGAACTACAATGGCTAAAAATAATGTGGAATTAATCTTTCTTCATTGCTGAAGAAACATCTTGGGAAAGTAAGGAAGTCTTAATAACCTAGAGCAGATCCATAAATCTCACCTTTCAGTTTGTGATCCAAGTACTCCAGTATTACTCTAATAAGCTGGACAATTGCAAGAATTAAGGCTCCAAATGCCAGCGAACCTGTATGATAGCTAAAACAAAATAAATGACTGTTATGTTGTGCATATGTGTGTATGTACAATTATATGTGTATGCGCATGTTTGTATGTATATATATAAATAAAATTATAACTGGAGGAAGGTCCATTAGTGGGAATTACACATACTAAAGGATCTTCATCCTGATCCACCAGAGAGGACAGGATGAAGCCTCTGGTGATGGTCTGAGTGCTGTGTGCGTCTCAGTCAGTGTGTGGCCAGCTATGTATGTATGTGCTCTATACATGTATTTGGGTGCGTATGCCTCCGGGAATACCTGCTCGGCCTTGTAATGGGTTGGGCTTGGGGCCATGGAGCCGCAGCAGCCTTGCCGCTATCAGGCTACAGGATTCAGCCTCCCCCTAACACCTACATTTTCCTGATTGTACTGGGTTTTGATGGAACAGAGTTAGTTTTCTTCATAGTAGCCAGTATGGGTCTATGATCTGCGTGTGTGACCAAAACAGTGTTGGTAACACAATGCTGTTTTAGCTGCTGCCAAGCGGTGCTTGCACAGCACCCAGGCTTTTTCTGCTCCTCACCCCACCAGCGATGGGCTGGGGGACACCAGGAGCTGACCCCAGCTGGCCAAAGGGATGTCCCACACCATATGGTGTCCTGCTCAGCAACAACAGCTGGGGTGGAGGAGGAGGAAGAGGAACACTTTGGGAGGGATGGCGTTTGGCTTCCCAAGTCACCATCAGGCGCGATGGAGCCCGGCTGTCCTGGGGACAGCTGACCACTCGCCTGCCATGGGGAGCAGGGAATGAATTCCTTGTTGTGCTTTGCTGGCGCACACAGCTTTGCTTTACCCGTGGAACTGTCTTTATCTCAGCCCACGTGTTTTCACACTCTCACCCTCCTGATTCGCTCCCCATCCCACAAGCGGCCAGGTGGGCCTCGGCTGCCAGCCAGGGATCACCACACCCTGACTAATCCTTCTCATTTGATACTGCAGGTCTGGCTTCCCTAGATGTAAAACGAGCATCTGATGGATAGGTGACCAGGCTCCCATCCAGCTCCACCATCTTACCGTATTGCTCGTCCGAAGGAGGAAAAGAGCGGCCACAGTGGAATATCGGCTGGTTTTCGAGAGGCCCAGTAATAGGAGGCAAAGGCACCGGCGAGGGTACACTGACCCAGCGCAATCGCAAAGTTCACCAGCCATAGAAAGACAAAGGCGTTGGCTAACTGGAAGATGAAGATGTACTTATGGTACAGGCTTTCTCCTCCGTAAAAAGCAAAAGTACACTGAGCACCTGGACACAATTTAGTCACGTTGGTTTTGTTAAAAGTCTGTATAGAAAGAAAAATAAGCAACACAATGATAAGCAATGAATTCTGCATATACAGTCTCTGAAGTTTAGCAGCTTAATACAAATAACATAATTCTGCTTGATGTTTTCGTTAGCTCATGTGACGCTCCACTCCAATGCTATATAACCTGTTCACTATTTAAGGATTCACATTGATGTCTTATGCAGGTGCGTAACTTACGCAGTTAGCAAACAGGATTATTCACCACATGCCTCAAACCTACATAAACGGAATCTGAATTTCAGCAGTCTACTTTTAAGACACATAAATGCTTCAGTTTCATTAAAGACAATCTGATCACAAAAAAATAATAATAATTATTTACTTGAAAACCAGAGCCAAATCTGCGGTTTGGATAAATCACCACCACTGAATTGAAATCAACTGAACTATGCCATTTTATACAAGCTGTGGATGTGGTCACAATTTCCCTTACCTATCTCAGAGTATTAAAACAGGAGTAGTCTCTACATTGAATTACTTTTCCCTGTTTCTATTGTTCAAGTATTTGCTTAGTTTGGTTATGAAATAAAACCAGTCAATTTCTAATCCCTTTCCTTTTTAGTGTTCAGACATCAGCAGGGTGGGGAATTGTTTGGGATATACATAACCACAGCAGTACATCGAAATTTAAACACCTGAAAATAACCCTGATATAACATGTGATAAGTATTTCTACTTTAAAAGAATACTTAAATTTAACCCTAGAGTCAAGTCAAAACATTTGACTGAAGACAAAACAAAACAAAAGACAAATATTTTTGGACCTTCCTAAAGGTCATTTCTGTGCCAAAAGAACCTAAATATTCAGGTAAACTTCTGCTTCAAAACACAGCTGGTTCTTGGGCAAATGTGAGGCACAGCTTTCAAAGTCTTCCATCGCCTTTTGAGGACCATGAAATAGAATCCTCATGGATTCAAGAACACCTTTCCAAATAAACCTGTATTTCTATGTCTTCTTGTCTCACCCTGTAACTTAGAACACTTATTATTTACCTGCCTCACAAGACAGCTTAGCAGAAAAAATAGTTTATGTCTGTAAACTGCTTTGAACAAAGAAGTATTATCTGAACTCTATGTACTATTTTCAGATTCAATATAAGGAATCATTACTTGAAATATGCACATTTTCTACTGGCATTTCATTTAATAGTGATTAATAAAATGCAATTAGTACAGCTGTCACTATAGGTAAATAGTTACACTTACCTCTGGGTCACAAGTCAGGTTTGCATACTTGCACAGTGTTTGATTAGCCATTACTTTATACACAGGTTCTCCTGATGTAGCCAGAAAACTGGATTAATTATTTTAAGGAGGAATCACAGAACTGTAGGCTTTGAGCAGTGGCGTAACCACCAGCTCTAAAGAACTCCTGCAGATAGCAGGAAGACTGCTCTTGCTACGCAGAGGTGTATATGAAGGGCTGACAGACAAGACTGAATGTTCTCGTTACTTTGAGAACTGAGGCAAACTCCACCCCAGAGCTGTGATAATCCCTGATCAGAATGTGCAAAACCTTGAAAGCGGACTCAATCTCTCCTGCACATCCACCTTCGACAAGGCAGATGGTGCAGTAGTTCTTTGACTGATCATATTTTGGTGGAAGTAGACACAGAGCATAAATTAACATTGTCCTAAACAGCAACTACCGACCCTCTTTGAGGGTCTTGTGAAAGAACAATTTGTTTTCAAAAAGCAATTTTCCCCTTCTCCATCCCTTGCCAAACCCTAGCTGTTCCAGGAACAGAGATAGAGTGGTGGCTGTTAGGCCATTTAGTGAGGACTCAGGGCACTGTATGTTCTCTCACACCTTTCCTATATTTTCTGAACTAAACACACCTGGAGCGAGCCCACCCACCCCCATTCACACCAGGCCTACAGAGTACGTGGCACATTGAAGGCCACATTCACTCTTTGCTGAGTACCTTTTTTACCCCTTAAAGTCAACCTTATTTAGTACTCAAGGCCTTGTATGATCCCCCTGCCTTGGTGTAAATTTTAGGGCAATTTAGAGAAATTAAACTCACTGTCTGGTTTGTACATGCCATGCACACGTGCAGTGAGGAAGCGCGCCTCAGTGTGGCATATCCTGAGCAACCCAACAGTCCTCTTAATGCTGGTTTGATTAAGGTGAAATAGCAGAGAATTATCCATTCTCACAGGCAGAAGACTGCTCCCCCAGAGACACACACGGACAAAAGGATACACAGCTGTCACAGCCCAGTAGGAAATACAAATGGCAATGAGTATGAAGGTGACGATCGGGTAGAACAATGTAGACATTATATAGCCAATAGCCCTATGAAAGAAACAAAATATATCAGTAAGCTACAGCAATTTCAACAACAAGCTTTTTAACAGTTCTCTTCTAGCATCATCCTCTCTGAGCTACTTGTTCACAGTGGTACCACAGTCTAGTGCTGGGATCTCAGAATACTGTAGGTTCTTTCCTCAAATGTCTTCATGTCTTCGCTTTGTCATGTCTTCACTACCACTCCACTTTTATTGGCAGCACTACGGTCAACTTTATCAATTCACCATGTTCAAGCCTGTCTTCTACTTTCTCCTTCTCCATTACTGCTTCAGAGATCCAGCTCTTTCCAGGTCACAAACCCATTTCAATCACATCTTGCTGACTGCTGCAAACATCACCCTGTATTTCCTCATCCCGTTCTGCTCAATTCCTAAGCCCTTCCTTCAGCTCTTGCTCACCTCAAATCACCTCTTGCCAATTTGTATTTGAGGGCTCTGTTCCCAGCCCCTTTCCTGCTTTAGGTAGTAACTATTCTGGGGCAGGGATATTCCATTCAGCTTTTCTTTGTAATGCCAGGATGCACTAACTCCTCTTGCACATGCCATAAAGGAGCGGTGCTCACCTTTGCTGCTGGCAGGCAGAATGAATAATGCCCTTTCGCTGCCAACAGCTTAGAGAGCTCCTTTTAACACCAAGGCTGATGTTTTAGAGGCTGACATTCTACTAACGCTTCCTGTGGCTGGAATGCAATTAGTGAGCAGGAGCTGGAGTGCGGGGACTGCTCTGTAGGATGGTGAGCTGGCCCAGCCCCTCTGGGAAACAGCTGCAGCGGTGCCAGAGGAGAGCTCCTCCGGCCGGGAGTCCCTCGGGGTGCGATCAGAGAGCCCATGTTCTGTTCACTGAAGCTTACAGGTTCTCTTTACGCTCCTCTCTTCTGCCTCTTCACGTTACACTAAGTTTTATTTCCAGTGACCATGTAAAGCTTATTTCACACCTTTTTCTCTCTTATTATTTCTTATAGTATTTCTCCTATGACTTGTTGCACTTCTGCTGCTATTTGTTTTATAGAAGGCAGTTTCCAGAACGTAAAAGGAGACAAATTTACTCAGTAAATGCTGGGGGAATGCAAGGGAACTGTCCTGCACAAACAAGAGGAGAAGAGCAACACATCAGTCTCTGTCCGAGTAAAAGTCCACAGAGAAGAGCCACACAAGAGGACACAGCCTTATGCTGCCTGAGAAATGACCACCATGTATGAGCAGTGCTCAGCAGGTAGTGGTGGGCCTTAGTTAACACAAAGACCACAGACACTCCAACAAACTGAGCGACAACTGTTAATTGTTCCTAACTATGGATTTCAACTCAATTATTAGCCTTATAATTGTAATATTTTTGAAAGAGCAGTAAAAGATATTGAAAAATGTAATTTGATATCCAGTCATCAGCAGCTTAGCTTTCATATTCCTGAATTCGGAGCACAGTCTGTTAGGTTTACAGTAATGACATAGCGTTTCACCTCATGCATTATGCATGACAGTAAAAACATCAGCCTCGAGTGTCCTTTCCAGGCTGCTGAAAAACTGCAGAATGTTATTACTTCTCAGCAGGAAGTTTATGAACTTTCTGAAATCCTTCTACCTGTCAAGGCTGCGAACAGAAGTGTAGCAGAGTGTTTAATGTGTTCCTGGATTTTAATGAACAGGAATTAAAGAGTATAATTTAGTGCTGCCAAAATTAATTGCAATGCTCTAATTGCACAGTAGCATAACACAGGAAACAGGTACCTGGCTGAATGCAGAACTTCAATATTTCTTAATTCATTACAAAAATCCCAAATCCTGATTCCTGAGAACCACAATGTCAACAGAGATGGCAGAAAACTACAAGCACGTGCACACAGATGAAGTCAGAGCTAACTCCATGTGCTCCAACAGAGCTCTACTTCCAAGGCTGGTGAGGCCTTGGCCTATTCGCAACAAAATCCAAGGGCCTGGTGTCTTAAGTACATTTCTCCTTTGTTATATTCGCATTTTTTAAAACAAGAACTCTTAGCACTGTGTAAAACAGGAAACACTGTGAACAAGTCTATGCAGATTTCAGCAAATGCAAAATGAAGAGGTCTCCTGGGCCTTCAAGTCTCACATCCTGCTCTGCTTTCTTCTTTACTCAGAGCTGAAGAAAGTCTCTTGGACTGCGCCTCATCACAATGTCTGATCATGGAAGTCTTCCTTTCTCTCTGCAGATTTATGCATGACCACACAAAAGTTTGATTGGAGCCAGAAGAATCCAGTCTTTCATCAACAAAAGCCACAGCCCAAACACCACCAGTCCTCTACTACTAGTATGTCACTCCTGAGACAAGGCCATGGCAGAGCCAAGCTGGCAGCTCCCAGTCCCGGGCTCCTGGCGACAGTGCACCACACTTGGCATTTCTGCCGATGCACCTCCTTGCACTGAGGGTACACGTACCACTGAGGGTACACGAGTATGTGCTCTTCAGGCAGGGAGCTGAGAGAGAAGAAATGTCTGACTGCAAAAGAGGAAGCTCTTACAAGCACAGCCTCATCAGCACAGAACTGGCTCTCCTTTTACTACCTGTTTGGCTCAACAAATCCAGTGTTGTACATCAACCCCCCGCTTTCTGCCCTTGGTAGTGCAAGATGAAGCTCAAGAAGCAGGTACCCTAGAGATCACATAATAAAATTCAAAATATATTCAAATCAGACAAACATACCTACTACCTTCCTTCAACAGTGCAATAGCAATCCGGATCCGATTCCTTAGGAAGATCAGCATCAGTATAATTATGACCTCAACAATACAAAGTAGTATCACTGAAAACAAACCAACAAAACCAGTTAGATTTACCAAGAAATGAACCAATACGCTGCCTCTGTAAATTGTTTTGTTTTTTTTTCCTTGTATTTTACACTATTGTTCATGAACTCCATAAAATTCCCTGCTAGAGCAGTTCTTTCTTTCTCTCACTGCACTTGCCAATCTTCAATCCCATTTCACAGATTTGTAAAATGCAGTGCAGGGAAGTTCTACATGCAGAGTTAGTCAGAATGGATAGGACCCTGACATTAGCATTTATAATTTATAAGAAAGATGGAACATACCATTCTCAGACAAAGACAATAATTTACTTAAATGTGACTGTAGTATTTGGCCTGTAGTATTTACTTAAACGCAATTGTAGTATTGTAAGTTCACCCTAAACAAATTCTGCTTTGCATAAACAAGCATTCTGCATGTTTATACCCTAACGCTGCTAATCTGTAGTATTTAGAGACAATAGAATAAATAAAAAGGTGGTGAAGAGTCAACTTTTTCAAGAAGAGTGCATTTTTCTGATTAATATATTATTCTAACATTTAGGTGTACTTAAATCAATAGGTTTGTTTGAGTATTAACCTGGCATGAGCTCCTTTCACCTCATTTGAGTTAAAAAACAGGCTAAGATAGGACATGTTTGGACAAATTATTTTCACTTTCCAGCTATGCTGCTGGAATCATACAAACTTTTATCTCAGCATGGTGCTCAGAAAGCTGAGCGCACCATGTCCCAGAACATTTTCTCCCTTACTTACGAGCAGTGTTGGAATCATAACCCAGACCTGGTTTAAAGAGTCTGCTTCAGGCCGAGTTCTGTTCAAAATCTACTTCTGCAGTAGAAAGTAAATATATTATCTGGATTCCATCTAGAGAAGACAGTCTTTAATGCCTGAAGCACATCTCCTCTGACTCTGAGGCAGATCCATTAATTCCAGGTGCTCCAAACGGTCAGACAGCATTTAAACCAGCCCCACCGCTGTGGAAGGCTGCACACAGCAGGACGTGTCTCCTCCGGCTGCAACCAAGAGGTTTTGCAGAGGGAGACAGAAGGGGTAATATCCCTAAGCCTTGGCTTCTCTGGAGGTTTGCAAAGGGACATGGGAACTGTGTTCTGGTCCCACAGCTTAGATGGAGTCTCAGAATCCAGACCTAGACAGTCACAGATGATGTTAAATTGCGATCCCAAGTATTACCAGTACCCCAACCCATCACAACTGCAGGTGGCAAGTGACTGCTGTAGTGCTCAGAGCCACAGACAAAGTTTTGTTACATGCATTTCAGCACCTGTTTTTGATATGGTTCCCCATGGAGGAATACATAATCAGGTTGCTTTAAAGTTGGTGTCATGTTGGTTGGCAGATACCAAGTTTAACAGGTACTTACTAAATGCTAACCACGTTTGCCTCAGTTGCAGGTAAACTCTGAAGTCTGTCTGGAATCCAATATCATAAACAGTGAGGTCAGATCCAGGTATTCCTTTAAGATGATCATACTCCCAGTAACAATGCCAGATGCCTTTTAAAAAACAAACAATAATCACCAGCGTTTCTGAAGAGTGCCAAGGCAAGTTTTTTTTAAAAAAAAGTCTTTTACAAGCCAAGAGTTTTTTCCCCAGCATGTCAGGTAAGCAAAGACCAAAAATGCATTACTGTGAGAGTAATCAACTTTAACATCACATATACAGAGAAGAACTACCAGTACAAGTGAATACAGACTAAGAATACTGCAGGTAGATAATTCAGCTTACTACTTACTCGGGCTAAGTATCAGCACAGATGGATTCTTACTAAATTTTGCTGCCATTTACGCCCTTCTCACTTAACTGTGTCTAAAACTAGGCATTAATTCCCCCAGCTGTACCATTTAATTGATGTAATTACTGATTTTCTTTGCCCAAACTTAAGCAATAAGGAAAAATAGCCACAGAGGCTGGAAGATTACACCTACCGTAACCTATAATTCCAATCACACCAAAGATGAAAATCCAGAAGAGAACCCCAGCCGTGAACCTCAATAACACAAGGAAGAGCAGACTCACAATCATTGCAATGAACAGCCCACTAGAAAGATAAAAAACAGAAACACAGGGAAAATAAGTGTGAAAATCTTCACTTTCTCGCATGCCTATTACTCCAAATGAGGGTCACTTCATCTCACATAAGAGAGTCATTTGTAAAAACGTAGTTCAGAATCTTCCCCATGAATAGATCCTCATGGCTATTATCTACTCTTACAAACAAACAGCTTATATATGATGATCTCGCAGTGCAGGGGCAGAAGCGTTTGCATACACTGGGTTCTCGGGTTCAAGGGGACCCATACAATGCCTTCGTGATCATTTCCAGCAGCCAAACAACTCACTGCCTCTTCCAGCCCATGGCCAGAAAAGTCTGCAGGCCAGAAAGTTAAACTGGAAGTATACCTGTATAAGGGGAGGCTGCTGTTCTGTGTCCTCCATCAAAAATCCCTACTTGCAAAGAAACAATGTTAGTAAAGTAACATTCTAGGATCTTTCCTAGGAAGAAGGAATAAAATCTAGGAGGAAAACCAGTGACTCCGTCAGAAGAGGTCTCAATGGGGTCCCTAGTAAAGACATGTACAGAGTGTCTCTTCTTTATCCAGTCTCTGGTTATCGGTGTTTTCACTTCACTCCCAGCAAGTAAGTCAGAAAGGAAAAAATGACTGCAAAAGGCCTTTGTACTCAGTGAGGCTTTCTAAAGCAATGTGAATAAAGTAATGTGAATAATAAACCCATCCAACAAACATCCAGCTCAGACGCTTCACAGAACATTTAATTTCTCATTATTTTGTATTAGTACAGGCTCAAAAAAATTTAAAACCTCTTCTTGCCTGTGTTCAGTAACTTCTCTTCTGAACATTCCCATCTTATTTAGCCAGTTACCAAAGATAAAAAATGGGTCAGCCTGACCATGAAGAACCGAAACCAGATGTTTTCGGCAAACTAAGCCAGATGGGCAGAGGGACAAGAAAAAGAACATCAGCCTATTTAGTTAAACCTTTGTAAGCTGGTCTTAAATTCTAGCCCTTTAAAGGTTTCCCAGTATGATGTATTTTCCTTTTCTGAATGCCTTGTTTGAAATTCAGAATGTATTCCTCAAAAAGAAGCTGTAGTTTTGGAGTTTATCACTCTAACATGCTAACATGTTAGTTACCAATCAGTTACCTTTATCTAAAGTTATCCTAGTCCTAGTAACACCAAAACTGAGTACCTTATAACAACTGCCCTCAACAGACTGGGTCCCTTCAACTGAGGCTTGAAAGCAGCATTCTCTGGGGGCGTGCTAAAAAGATTAGACCAACCCCATATTTAATTTTTAATCCATCTTCCTCTCACTATCGGGCCTTCATCATCATCACCCAGGCTCTAGCACTTAAATATGTTTGTCCAGGAATCATTTGAGGTATGCTAGCATTTGTTGAAAAATCTGAAGAAAATTCTGTCCAACTACTTTAAAAGTAGCAACAATTCCTTATAAAAATCTCATGACATGTGGAAACTGGCTTCAGTATTCAGAACTTCTGTTCAAAAAATGGTCCATTTTCTCTCCAGCCTATCTGTTCAGTGATTTGAAAGAATCTGCACCATAAGCCTGATTTCAGAAGGAGATCTACGGAGAACTGAGCTTGGTGAATACTAGTGAGTTTCTTGCCGCTGGCTATTGTGAGCACAGTATCAGACTGTAAGAAAGCTGTCCTCCCACCAGTGACTGAACACCCTTAAAAGCTGACAGCTTATGTTTCTGAACTGACTAATTCTCCATATTAAGTTTATGACCCAAATTTTATGTATTTATTGATGTGGATTTGCATTCAGACTTGAATAACGTATGCTTAATATGTGCATGTTACAGGCTCTCACATGGCAAAGACTTCTGCTCCTGTTTAAATTGATCAACACCCCAGTCCACCAAAAACAATATTAATGGGCTAAGAACACACATATACTTACATGTTTGCTTCAGCAAAATAGCCTCTTTTTTTGCTACAGTGCTGCATTTTTACTAATTGGTGATTAGTGAGTATCAATTGCAAGATAAAGTTAATATTGTTCAATACTTTTTGCTCTTGATGTTGCTTTGCCTGCTGCGTTGGATTTATAGGTTTATATCAGATTTATGTATGATAATGGATTCACCTATATATTGCTAGTATAAATTTAGATATTATGAGTTTTACATATATATACTAATGACACTTAGCAACTGCACTTGGTTTGAAAGTCTCTTAAGATTTTTCAGTTTTGGAATTACCAGACAGATGGGTCCTGCAACAGAAGACAGCATCTCCTGTTTTTCTGCATGGTAGGACATCAAAAGTCTACTCCAGAACAAGTGAGACTCCCTGGATGTATGCTGTGCTATCCTCACCTCACCTACAGAACCATAAAAACATGATTATCATGTGAGGAAAGGAAATTACATTTGCTCCTTGAGTTTAAAAGTAGGATTGGTACAAATACAAGACCTATTTCTTAATTCCCTGCAAGCTCCACAGTGAATTTGGAAAAAATTAAAATATCCATGAAAATCTTACATTAAAATCCAATACCAAGAAATGGCATAGTCTTCAAAAATTTTCACTCCAACTGATCTTGCATCCAGGACACTATTGATGCCACTGAGAAAAGACAAACCAAAGAAAACGTTGCTTTGAGTAGAAAAGCAGAATTATTTAAACAGCAAATAGGCTCCGTGAAAGAATTTGAAATATCTTTGCCATTGATATGAGTATATTACCATCCTACAGCCCCAGTTCTGTAACCAAGCCAACATCAATCACAGTTACGCCAAAGAAAAAACCTGTGTACAAATGTCTACATAGCTCCTGCAAAAGCTTTTTAAGAAAGCCTTATGAGTACTAACTATCGACAGATATAATTGCTTTTTATGTCACGAGAAAGGTGTATACTATTAAAATCTGCAATGTACCAATAGCCAAACAGTTGTGACTTTAGAACTGCTAATAACAGAAGCAGTGGAGTCCCCTTCCTTGGAGATTTTCAAGACCCGCCTGGATGCAGTCCTGAGTAACATGCTCTAGCTCTAGGCAATCCTGCTTCAGCAGGGGAGTTGGACTAGATGATCTCTATGGTCCCTTCCAACTCTAAAATTCAGTGAAATTCAGTGAAATTCAGTGAAAACAGCTCAGTGAAGCAAAAGGTTGGCTTTACAGAACTGTTTTCCTGTCCTGCAAAGTGCTTGCCCGTGTTAGTATTTTCCCAAGAAGAAATGAAGGATCTTCTTATCAAAGAACAATGTAGCTGTAGATATCAGAAGAAAGGAACCTGGTAAGATGCAGGTGTCATCAGTGTCGTAAAATGCTGGAATGTGGTAGCCCTGGATTGGGAGGTAAGAAAAGGCACCCCATGCTCCAGACAGGCTGAGGACCGGCAGCAGCTGGAAAAGGGAGGCTATTGCAGCAGTTGTCTCTTACCCTGTTTGATGACCAGGCATGGAGATACTTGCTGTCCATCTGCAAGGGAGGTGCTGTCATGCACCAGAGCCCAGTACGTGGCTTTTTGACCTTTAGACATGCACTAAAACCAGGAGCTCTCCGACAAGGCAAGATGCCCCAAGTACTAGGACAGTCCATGTTAGTGGAAAGTCCATCACAGGAAGGAACAGCTGAGGCCATTGCTGGCTCGCCTGAGTCCTGCAGCATTTCATTTTGAACCTCCTTTACCTTTCTTCAATACTAATTTTTGCAAGAAAAAACAGGAAGAAGGCTTTAAAAACTGATATTAATTCTGAGACAATCAGACTGAAACTTCTGGCTCCTTGCTCATTTCTGCATACCACGGTGATGGTTTTTCCTTACTGGAACTTTGCAAGTGCCCAGGGACAGAGAGACCATTTACCAGCAGGTCCTGCCTGCGTACCCTCAGCCATTTGCTACAACAGATTCTGATTATTTTTTCAGTTCCTAATTTATTTCATAATCTCAGAATCCAACAAATGAGCACTGAAGAAGGATAAAACATACTTTGCAGCTTCCCTGAGATCAGTTACATTTCTTGTTTTTCCTCTTCCATCTCTGAACGTAGTCTGATTTGCCACGGTTAGCACACCATTCTTTGTGGAGAAGTCTGGGAAGCATCTCTTAAGAACTATTCAAAATATCAAAACAAAACATGCATGTTACATTTCATGTCAAGCTCCACTTTCATCACTTGTCTTTTGTAACATATTTAAATCACTTCAGATTGACAGTCAATTGTTTTTCACCTGTTTATCTAATGATATGTTGACTTTGACAAGTCTTGGAAGAGTCTTTATATTCAAGATCATTATTTTTATGCTCTGGGGCTTTGTGTCTGAGCTCAGGGATGGTGGGATCATAGCTTTCACCTGGAGATTCTAGCTGCTACCAAATAACAACAGCCACATCTGTAGCAGTTTAAGAATTTGTAATAAATGCCAAACTTACTCTCTGTCAGTACCTGGGCAGTTTACAAAAAAACTGCAGCTTCTCAAATATGCCATTTCATGCTAATAATCAAACCCACCCCCAGGGACAGACTCAACATGACTGGTCATTAATGGTATTAGCACCCAAAACAAGACACAACAGCAGGTGCCAGTTCCTCATATGCCAGATGAGCTGCAGCATCAGCCACTATCACCAGATTTTCTTGGAGAGGAAGCAATGGAAAAAAGACAGAAACTATTGGTTAGACAGATGGAGGAGGAGATTATAAAAGAGAGGAAAAAGGAAAGCTATTTACGTACTCATTTATGCTGCCCTGCTCTTTGCTGCAAAAGGTCCCGTTTTTCATGCCAAAAGGAAGAGCACGTCAGTCCTCTGACACCACTGTACTTAAACTTTATATAACAATTCTGTGCTTTCCTTACCAAGTTCCAACAACTACTGATGCCAGGGTTCAATATTCAGTCTAGAACACCTGTCCCACCAATTATTCTGAGGAAATAATCAAATAACAGGTCTTTCCCTCCCTCTGTAATCTTTGCCACTTGTTGTATTGTAAAAGAAGATAATAGCTTCTTTGTAAATTATTTTCTGTCTTTTGGGTCAGTACATCAGTTTTTCATACAAATTCTTAATTTTTTTTTTTAAATTTAATCCATATTTTCTCTTTTTTGATAACCCGTCCCTGGTTTACATGATGTCTATTTTAAAGCATGGGAAATTAAACTGCAATTTCTGATTTGCATGAGCTTCCGGGTAAGTGACAGACACTCTTGACGTTACACTTCTGCAGCTGAGATCAGCTCTGAGACCTGTGGTTATCTGCTCTGAAATACCTGCTGACCACAGTGACAGAAACACTTTTTGGCCCCTAAATTCCTCTGTACACTCTGTACAGCCAGTGCTGCAACTGGAACGTCAGCTGGGTTGTAACTGGGCTCAGGCATCACCTGAACGTCAGCATCTGGCCACAGGGTCCTCCCTCCCGTCCTAGCATCTCCCTGACACCAATGGGGCTGCCCACTCCCATGTTTTGGGAGGCACAATTTCAGCTGCAAACCTTTTGTTATCAGTGATGACTCAAGAGCAAGAAAGAGGTCAGCTTGACTCAATCACATGCTGAACGTTCACAGATGGCAGTTAGAAAAAATAATAACAAATCTTTACACTTTCAAACTGTTTAAAATTGAATGGACATCACTGTCAGATAACAGACAGCTCCTAGTGACCTTACCACAAAACACTTTTCAGGCTGGAGTTGTGCTTTAATGTGAACGCTTATAATCTGCTAAGATGTGTGTAAGAAGTAGAACCACTCACAAGGCCTGCTTGGAATGATCATCGAAGGACAATCTTCATCACGTAGAACTTGAGCAACAGACTAAAAAGGGGAAAAATAGGAATGCTGAATACATAGTAGAGTAACTGTGTGGTTTTTGTTTCTCACACAGTCTGAGAAAATGCCCCAAACTGGAAGTTGTAGCCTCCATGCCCGAACTTGAGTTGGTGGAGCTGCAAGATACATTCATGATGTGAGAATCCAAACTGTCATTGAGATTTGGGCAAAGACTATTCTTCTCTCCTTTTCCACTGACAAAAAAGAAAAGACTTGTTCATTAGGATCATTATCTAAGCCAGAAGTGACTGGACAACTGTTCTTGAAGGGGAATGCTCCCTTTCATCTTCTCTCTTAAGGAAGAGTAAGAATTTAACAGAATTAAAATAGCTGAATTGCAAAGTGTTTTAAAGATGAGAGAAATAACACTGTATATTTGAGTGTAAAATCAGCTACATGGAGGATAGATTGATTTTCCTAGCTAAATTACTAAGTAGCTATAGATGATTCAGGAGCCTTAAGACCTGGTCTGAGTTACTCTGCTGTGCTGCTGTGGAGCACCTCAGTACTAAAGGACACGGCTTGCCACCGTACTGCGACTGCATGGGGAGCTGCAAATATTCTTTTAAGCAAAAAGTAATAATTTAAAGAGTGCAGGAGCTGGTGTGCATACAAGACTTTCACCCCTGACTAAATCACTGTCAAACCATATATATGGGACAACTTATTATATGGTGAAATCAGAATAATTCAAAGCTTTGATGTAGATCAGTAAAATCATGAATATTACATACTGCTTGGAAAAAAAAAAAGTACTGATACATACACACCTTGCGAGGATTGTTAAAACCAGGTTTGCAGAACTGCTTGAAGTAATTCCACTGATCTGGTTTGTATCTGTAGGAAGCCTGAACATCAATGTAGGTTGCAAACCTGTCTGGGCACTTTGAGACACAAAGCTGCAAAAAGAGCAAAAAAATAGTAAAAACACACTGAGGGTAGAGAAAGATAAGGAAAGTCAGTGCAACTAAAAAGCAAGAAAAAGGCCACCTATAAAAGCACATTGTTTTATGGAATTGCCTTCAGTAATGTTCACTGCAGAATTTAGAAAGGACATATGTTTTCCTTTCGATTCCCTAATGAATACTCAAAAAAAATCTCTGATGAATACACTTTCAAAGTCTCTCCTCTTATCTGGCGTAAGAAGACACTCCCCGTGTCTTCTTAGGTTCTAAGCATTCTGGTAGACATGCAGAGCTTTCAGTCTGTTGAAAAAAAAAGTATTTTTTTGAACACCAGGAAAAAAGTCTGTTGGGTCCTTCTTTACTTCCACCAGCAGCAGTGCACACAAGCAAGGTGGAGCAGCAGCTGCCATCACAGATACACATACCTTATTTCTATTACATTTATAAGGAGAAATCTATTTTAAAAAGTCTCGTCCAGCTAAAATTGTCCCACCCTTCTACAAAATCTCTTCAGGCAAATACATCTCCACAGAAATTGTTCAAGTCAGGTCAGGTGTAAATCACCCAAAGGTAACTAAGGTCAGGGCAGAAGCTTCAAGAGGGATTTTCTAGATGAGTACTCCAGTCCTATGGACTACTCACAGCCCCAGGAACAGAGAAAGGAGAGTTTTGTCCTTGCTGGGACAGCAGGCGACCAACAAGTACACACTTCACTATAACCACAGTTTCCCATCTATGAAACAGGCAGTGAAATGTGCTGTCCATGGATGCAGTGAACTTTAACAACAATTTGCCATTCCACAATCTTACTCAAGAACCGAAGCTCTTCCCATGCCAGTTCTTGGGGTTTTTTTCTCCTGCTATTTCACACAAATGGGACAGCAATGAAAGACCGTGTCTGCAGTTCAAAGGACGAGTTATCAAACAAAGATTTTCACAAAAGACTAGGGAATTAACCATCTGCAGTAGCAAATAGCATCCAAGAACATTCTCAATTTTGGAGATATATGTCTGAAAAGAAAAAAAATAGCTGTTCTGCTCCCCCAGCTCTCCTTCAACAAGTATTTCACCTTACGTGACCGATGAGCACCTTCACCAAATCCCACACAATGACCTCAGCATTTCTAAGCAGGCTGAATTCCTCCCAAAACAGAGTCTAAGGACTGCAGGGTAACACTGCTGGTGTCTGTGTGTGGACAGATGGGGGTTCCTGAAGCAAATCTGTTGCTGATAGAAAGAGTTTCCATTCTGACACCAACAGTTCAGTGTTAAGGGGGTTCTTGCTCTTCCTTGTCAGAGATTTCCACCTCTTCAGCTGTGTCAAATAGTCCATACAGTCGCACTAACTGACAGGCCAGAAACATCTATCAAGGACAGGGATCAGGAGTAAGGGCAAGCTGGAATGGGAAACATTTTAAAATGACAATCAAATAAATACACAATTAAGATTTTGTCCTGACGCATTTGTAATCAATAAATTGGTTACCATATAACAACCCTCATTCAACTTAATACTGGACTTCACCGAATGTTGTCAACATGGCTGAGACCATCCTCCGTCACCAGCAGCTTAATTACACAGCACAATTACTTTGGCAGCAGAGCTGGATGACAGCAGTCCTGCACCTCATTCCTCTGACCTGCCCCACACCCTAAGTTGTTGCCTCCTAAGATGAACTGACATAACTGGCTGAGAAATTGTTCAACAAACCAGGTCTCATGCAAAAAAGATGAGGAGGATAATATTAACCCATACAAGTTCAGTGGCTGGGTTTATTTCACAATCTCACAAGAAGTTGCAGCACAGCTGAGGGAGTACAAATTGTGGCATAAGGCAAGAACAGGCTTTCAAGATCTTCAACTTTGAAAGTGCCACAGGATCTCACCAGGCCCAAACACTCCTGTCACTGGGGATATACACATTTTCTTGAACATGTCTAGTTTGGAAAACCCTAGACCTCAATCAAAATTATTTTCTGCACGCACTGATTACTCCTGGATAGCTGTCTGTGATGAATTCATAGGTAACAAATTGCTGTATTCAACTAAACAGATCATATTTTGTCAACTCTTATCCAAAATACACAACATGTGCATTTCTATTTATTTTTTCTGACCATTACAGGCTACAGAGACCGTGCACTATGCATTTTATCTATAAAACAAACATATTGTATTTTGAAGGATATGAACAGCAATTTTAAAATCCAAACAAATCTACATCTAGTTCTTAAGCACCATGACTAAGAAGCAGGGAAAATATTTAATCACTGTATTTCACTCACCTGTGTTGTAGGGCACTGTAGGTTTATTAACACTACGGGGCTGGCACATTTCAGAATGTTAAAGTAAAACAAAATGGTCTTGTTCCTATGGAAGTGAATATAAGATAATTAATGTTATAAATATGGGTGTATGTATATCCTACCATTCAAAAACTTATAGTATCCATCGAGATTTAAATTCTGGTTTTGTGAACAGTCATAGTGTAAACACAAGACAAAAAAAACCAAATCCCAAGCAGCCCTGAACATTCTGTGCCAAGACATCTCTGAAGCCAGAAGTATTTGAGAAGTTTTTGCCACAGCAAGGTTTTAGGCTGAAACAACCCCAGGCGCTGTTACAGGAATCTGTAGTCCTGCCTCTCTGAGGTGAGGTCTGTAAAATACCCTGCAAAAACACTGGCCCCTTTGCTTACACTGAACATTCTGTGTCTGTACGGCATGGAAAATCACCATCAGCAAATGCTGCACTGCAAAAGCTGCCTATTTTCTATTGATCAGAAGGTGGCACCAAAATCAACCAAAAGCTTTTCATGGTTGGAAAGCGAAAGCAGCACTCCAGGAAGCAGAATGACAACAGCATCTGCTAATAACGCTGATAAACCCCTTTTATGTAAAGAAGGGACTCTGCACCCTAGAATCCACACACCTGACAGCTTCTGGAACTCAGAACCTTCAGGTAGCTTTCACCTCAGCTTGGATTTGTTGAAAACGGATTACCCCAAGATCTTTGTATTAAAACATCTGGGTTTTGAAGACAGAGTAATATGCCCTTAATCTTTGCTACGTCAGAAGATTGTCAGACAGCTCTAATGAAGATGGTGTGGCAGCAGTCCTGCCCTTTTTACAGGAGACTTTGATGCCAGCTAGCCATGTCAGGACAGACAGTGTCCCCACAAGAAATAACGGTGCACTTGTCCCTCTATGGCCCGTGATGTGCAAGAGAAGACAGCACCTGGTGTCTGACCCACTGTGGCAATGAGCACAGAGGGAGAAGGACAGCATTAACAACGACATGTGCCTGGGCAAACCAGGCTGTCCCTCTGCCATCTGCTGACTTGGCACCAGCCCTGCTCCCACATCTCCCCACTGTCTCCTCCAGTCCAGAACACATCCTCTCACCTTCCACCAGCACGTGGTCTCACCTACTGCTGAATATGCCTGTGCCTTCAAAGCCACGATATAGCATCACAGCACACCCAAGCTCCCTTTGAAACTGGGATTAGCTCAGCTGCCTGACATTCTACAAGGTTGAATTGTTTTCACCAAGGTATGTTCTCCTGTGCACTGTTTAACTAAACATGCATCCTGGCAAATGCAATTCATTATCCTCAGTTGTTATTTCTTCAAATCAATAGAATAAAATTTTGGACTGAAATGTCATTGTTCAATAGTTTCTTGACAGTATTTATAATCTGTGAGCTGCTCAAGGACATTAATGAATATTTTTTTTCTTGTGTCTTAGCCCACTTGCTGAGACTGACAGTAGAAAATAAAGTTTAAACATATACATAACACAAGAAAACAGCCACCGAGAACTAGCTCTGTATTCTCTATAATGAAATTGTGTTATATTCTGTGATGACAATGTGGTCTATAGAAGGCAAAACAAGTTTAGAGGTTACAGGGAGTCACAAAGAGGCCTGAGACTCTCGTGACAACTCAAGGTAGAATTAATTTGACTGCATGGAATTCATTGGTTTGCATGAGCTGTGAGTGTTGGCTTGGGTTTTAGCTTCTCTTTTCTGCCCCTCAGTGAGATTGCTGGGAATGCCTGTGTCAAGCACAAGATTCTAACATGGAGGCTGTGATCACCTTCCAAGGAACAAGTCTCAGGCTAAGCTGCTGAGGACTTTGGAACATCGCAGTCCTGGGCTGGCCTTTTCCACCACCTACTTTCAGGATGTCTGAAACATCTGACAATGGTATCAGTGAAGGCCCAACAAGCACATCCCACACCTCCACTCCTAGGAACTAGAGGGACCTCCTGACCTACTGCCAGAAATGCTCTTGCTTCTTCAGTAAGTTGTATTATGTCTCTTTTGGCTTATATTTTTATAAGAAACTCCTCAATGTAGCAGCCTCAGTAGCTGTATTATTTTCCAGCAATCATATATATGGAGGGACATTCACGAACACAAACTGGAAACCACACTGCAAGAAATAACTAAAGGGAAGACTTGAGTAACAAAGAGAAAGCGGGAATGGAAGTGGATGATGAGGATCAGAGAGAAGCACCTGGCTACACACCACACAGTGCGTGATGTCTGAGACTCCCACTGCTTCCTACAGACCATGGAGGGGACCTAGGACAACCCGGGGGGTGAGGAAGGAGGGGTGCAGTGAGGGGAACACACACAATGCAACAACGTTTTCTTCTCATTTTTCATCTTTGGGACGTTGGACTCTCCCACAACTGCTGTGAGGAATCTTAGTTGGAGGGCGAAACAGATCTTCTTGCACTATCCAGTCTGTTTCCTCTGCAAAAAGCCTCGAGAGGATACAAAGTCCTGGCTTTGCCTCTGCTCCACTCCCTGTCTCCTGCTCCTCCCATTCTGAACTGCCCTTGGTGCAGGGGTTTCCTCATGTTTTTCTCCCAGAAAACTAAAAGGGAGAAAATGAGGGAAAAACCAAAACTACTTTTTAGATTCTGTGTCATAAAACACTTAGATTTGCAGAGAAAACATTGATGCAACATCTTTCTTTCCTGAGCTCTTATTTTTACACAGAAGTACTCTTCTGATATCAACTAATTAATTTAACTCTCACAAGTCAAAATTTAAAAAGTCTGGCAAACTGAGACAAGTAAATAGAGATGCGTGGCTGATATCCCCAAGGAAGGCATGGTTATATCTGCCTGTCTCCCAGACCACTCAACCTCCTCTCTACCGGCACTGGATATAACACCAGAAAAAAACCCAAGTTTTTCCTTATGGTCTTTTCTGTTATTTGGCACATGTTGAGAAAAACTGAGAGCCAGACTTCAATGCTTTAGGACTACTCTTATCCCAAGACGGACAGAAGAATCACTGCTATTAACTATCCAAACTTTGGCAGTCACTTTCTATGCAATTAGCGATGCGATCTTGAAGTTATATTGAGACTTTACCAAAAATACTCTCTGAATTATAAAAACAACCGCATTATAGTAATAATTTGGGTCTAGATTTGCACTGAGCAACTCATCTATTTTTGAACTTTATTTGGAGTGGACACAGTAAGAGCGTCGCCGTCTATTTAACTTCCCACAGGAACCCCAAGCAGACAAAGAGATTTGAGACCTCACATCTTATTCACAGTGTGTGAGTAATAAAGGTCTGTGAATGGATTTAGTACTCACTCATTGATGGTGTCTTTCTGACCACAGAACTGCCCATAGCTGTCAGTCGGATAAATCACTTTCCTGGGGTCGCCGTGCACCCAAGCTGCAAATATACACATCTCTTTTAACGTTTTAGTCAAGTGTACACAATTAGTAGTTGAAACAGGCCAGCATGAAAATGTATCGCCCCTAATGGACCATTTCAATCTTTGTTGATCACCACTGAAGAGTATTGATTTGTAAATTTCCTAATGAAAAACTAAAATATAAACCAAACTAAACAGAACTAAGATATGGATGAATCAGTAAGAGAGCAAGCCAGTTCACTTTTACCTTCAGGGCATGTATATCTGGCTTCTATCCAAAATATGATGTAACAGACTTTAAAAATAACAGCTATTAAGAGGGGAAAGAAGAGGAGCTAACTATGTAGACAAAGAGCACTCAGACAACCACGCTGGCCTTGAAATTAATGAGATTACCTGGGCCTGTGGCAGAAATACACAGGGTGCAACTGAATCTAATGGACTCCATTTGCACTCAGAATGGAAACAAACCCTCATTTTGTAAATGAAAACATTTCCCGACCTCTCACTTGGCAACTGCCCCATTTTTCGGTTTTTAGGGCCACACCTGGCAACTTAGGTATTAAATGCCAGCATGAACCATAGCACTGAATGGGAAGAGAGGTTTGTATTGAATTTTTAACCTTCTTTTCTCCACTTCTAAGCAGGATTTCTTCTCCAAGCCATTTTCACCTGCACCGTTATTTCTCTTTGAGGATCAAGCACACACCAGCTCCCACTATTGGTATCATTATTTCTAAGCTGTAGTGTGCAGACCTAACCAAGCTTCCTTCATGACTACCCAAAGACCAGCCTTTGAACTCTTCTGACTACTAACTGCTGATTTCACTCTGAATAATGGAAATTTGGTTTATTTTCAAGTACCACCTGAAAGTAAGATATAATGTTAGAATATGATTCCATAGCACTACCCTGAGCTGACTCCCTAAAAAGGTGTCAGGCTGCTAGAGAACCGTTAGAAAAGACCATCAATCTTTGACTTTGACTACAGGTATTACAAAGATTTTAGTCTCAACTTTCCCCCTCATGTAGTATGCACTGAATGTTACAAGCCCACTTCGCATACATTATAGGCTTTGATCTATGCAAACCACCTTGAACTTGCTTCTCTGTAATTACCCCATTTTCTCTCAACTTTGTGACACTATATTTAGTCATTTGTGAAACTGTCATTTTCCTCAAGGTCACTTTGGTAAGAATAACAACGCTTGGCAATAATGACACGCACAATAGAGACAGAACCCATGTAAGATCTCCGAGCAGCAGACTGACAATGTACTGACGTGTTCGGGACGGATGCATGGCATCTTCAGAGACTCGCAAACGGTTACAGAAAATCTGTAATGCCACCTTTCACCTGGAATGGCTCTAAGTTACCAAAATTACAAAGTTACAAGGGGAGGTCTTGCACCTGGGGAGGAATAACCCCCTGCACCAGTACAGGCTGGGGGTAACCTGCTGGAGAGCAGCTCTGAAGAAAAAGATCTGGGAGTCCTGGTGGACAACAGGATGCCCATGAGCCAGCAATGTGCCCTTGTGGCCAAGAAGGCCAATGGCATCCTGGGGTGCATCAAGAAGAGCGTGGCCAGCAGGTGGAGGGAGGTCATCCTGCCCCTCTGCCCTGCCCTAGGGAGGCCCCATCTGGAGCACTGGGTCCAGTTCTGGGCTCCCCAGTACCAGAAGGACAGGGGACTGCTGGAGAGGGGACAGCAGAGGCTACAGAGATGATGAGGGGCCCGGAGTATCTCTCTTACGAGGAGAGGCTGAGGGACTTGGGGCTTTTTAGTCTGGAGAAGAGAAGACTGAGAGGGGATCTGATCAATGCTTATAAATACTTAAAGGGAGGGTGTCAGGAGGAAGGGGCCAGTTTTTTTTCAGTGGTGCCCAGGGACAGGACAAGAGGAAATGGGCACAAACTTGAATGTAAGAAGTTCCATCTAAACATGAGGAGGAACTTCTTTCCTGTGAGAGTGGCAGAGCTCTGGAAGAGGCTGCCTAGGCAGGTGGTGGAGTCTCCTTCTCTGGAGACATTCAACCCCACCTGGACACGTTCCTGTGGGACCTGCTCTGGGTGGACCTGCTCTGGCAGGGGACTGGATTAGATGATTTCCAGAGGTCCCTTCCAGCCCCATAGCATTCTGTGATTCTGTGAAAATGAATCTGCTATTTCATTTTAGCCTGTGTTAGTTTTCCTGCATTTCAGAGTTTGTAAATGAACCGGCTGTTTGGTTTCAAACACTTTCTGAACATATTTCAGATTAACTCTGGTGTTCTGACGCTCAGAGAAAGCTAGACTGCTTCACCAGTGTCAAACCCTTTTACTTTTTTGATTTGTTAGGTCCCACTTATTTAGTTCAGTTGTGTTACTTAATAGGAACATCTGGGAGGCATCAGGTCCCTCAGAACGCCCACGGTCAGTTGGTAACTCACCCGCACACATAGCAGCAGGGACCAGAGGGCTCTCTGGCGTCTGCAATGAGTCTGTAGGTTATGCCATGTACACTTTCTTCCACCATCACTCTAACAAGAGGGAGTTTTTCTTTCTAATTTAATATGACCTTGTTTTTCATACACACAAAAGCCTGGTCCCAAATGGATCAAGCTCCTGTACAGACCTAACGACCTCTGGGGCCGTATTTGTGTGATGTTAACGACTCTAATACATTGGTGTTTTCCCAGCCCCAAAATTAGTTCAGTACATTATTAAAGGGACTATTTTTTTTGCATTTGACTATATATTTTCTTTAACACCAGCAAACCAGGAAGCAGTAGAGATAAGCCCCACCATTCAAACCACTGACGAGAAATCTGCAGCAAGACTTAGACCTGCCTTGTATAGATAATGTGGAAGTAGTCACTGTTGCCAACACCATCCCTTTCCTAAACAGCACAGCATATTAAACCTGGAATTATTTTTCACTCCTCAGACAAAATCGGGAGAAAGGAGACAAACACTGCAACACGATGTTGGTTGGGTTGGTTTTTTTTTTTTGGCGCTCTCAGTCTCATTCAGGATCTCTTCCTACGAAGGGTCCCCATGACCCCGGCTGGAATCCTTCAGCCTGTTTGGGTGGACAAACACGGCCCACAAGGGTAAAACTCAGCTCATCCAACAGGCAGAGCAGCGTATTCTCCTCACATTCCTTTCACTTTGAATACAAAGTCTGCTGAAATATTTCAAAAGACTCCCTTGGTTTCACTGGGTTTGTATCAAACCTTGGTCTCAAATTTAACCACTTATCTTTTGCAGTGTGCTGCTCAATTATTAGCAGACATTAGCAGAGCATAAACAGTGGAACACACTGCTCACTTCTAAATAGAATTTCTGTTCAGATTGTACCTTCTTTGCCATTACTGAAATGTCTAAAACTACCTCTGCTTGGCAGTAGTTGTCCTGTGTGCCCAAGGGTTCAGTCATGTTTTTAATAACACAATTAAAAAGAATCTGCTTTTGAAAAATAGATTTAGCACACTTTGTGCAATGGGATTAGCTGCTAGGTGGATGGAGGAAGATGCCTCTCAGCTAAATTCCAAAGTGAAACAAAAATAATTGGGTCTTATTTACAACATGTACATTTATTAATAAACCTAATCCTCTGTCCCCTCCTTTGCAAACTTAGAGCAGTGACAGTGAAAGAATCCATGTGATAAATACACCATTTTTCTGACCTAGTCAATGAAGAACAAATACCTAATTCAACAGTTCGGTGACTCACTATCAAGCACTAAATGAAAAGGAATCCAGACACATAAAATTTTTATTCCAGCATGCTCTGGTGTTCATACGGCTGCAGTCTGAGTGCTGGCACAAACATCTGGGCTAAAAAGGAAAATTAAAGAACAGCTGAACCATATTACACAGTTGACAGCCCTTGGCGCAGCAATGTGACGTCCTATGACACCGGTATGGCATTTTCAGGAGGCGTGCAGTTGTGTCAGTCCTTTTATTGATGTGGAGCCAACACACATGGATAGTATCAAAAATGGCTAATGCCTGTCACTAAATGTCTATCAGATGCACACCTTTTTTTTCTGTGTTCTATGGGCTATGTCAGTGGTTGTAAAGGCTGGAAAGTTCCCTGTCAAGAAGAAAATGTGATTAGAACAACGGCATCCTGTGATACTTAAAAATGAACAGCAAATCTGTTCATACTGTCTGTCTCATTCCCTCTGTGTATTTTTGAAAGGCAGCCTTTCATATCATTATCTTGCTTCCCTTAAAGGTATATTTGTAATGATTTAATGTATGGAGAAACCAACCTGCCAAATTGTTCTCAGGGCTTTTTAACACAAGCAATTTACTAATCTATTGAAACAGGTAATAGAACACATGACACAGAATTTGCAAATCCATGCTGATAACACTGGTATTGTGTAAGCATCCCTTGGAGCAATACCACAGGAGTTACTACTTGGAATTAACCTGCCCTTTGGAATGTGGAGCTCTTTTCCAAGAAAACTTATTTGCTGCCTTTTATGTGCACATTTCTGAATTAAAATAGTCTTAAATTAGGACGCTAAACATTTGTAAAGTATCACCTGGATAAGACCAGTGTCTCTGAAATAAACATGAAGAGTTAAGTCAGTTTGATGGGAAGGAAAACTACACAGAACGTTAAATGAGCACAATTAGTTAATCTGTAAAGATAAAAGAATGATAAAAAAAATAAATCATTGAATAACTATTTCTATTCAGGAGTCACTCAACAACAGCCATCACTGAAGCAGAACTAACAAAGGCCAGTATCAAAAATGGTTTGGTTTCATCTTTCAAGGAGAATTGATTACCTTTTACTCAGACTACGTTTCAGTCCCCCTGAAACATAAAACAAGCCTACTCCACTGCTACACAGGCATAGCTGAAGCCTATGTGAGATATACCTACAATACTGAGGGCAAAATTTGTCTCACATCTTCAGTCACAGCAGTTCTGCAAGGAACCTGCGTTATTGCTTACTTCTCAAGCCAAATTAAACAGGGATCCAGAGCAGTGTTCACACATTTTCAAGAAATTGTGGAAATCTACATTTCCACCCTCTCTCCTCAC